TGTTGTACTACGAAAGAAAAGGATTATGTCGAAAACACGTTTGAAAAAAATATGATAAATTATTATCACATAAAAAAAAAAAAAAAAAGAAAACAAAGATAAAAAGTCATTCGATTTCGTACATTCTTTCTGATCGATCATGAAGATCCAAGAATGGTATTATGGATTAATCGAAAAAAGAAAAAAAAAGGGAGCAAATTTTTCCAAACTTTCCTCGTTCATTCGAACGATCCACGTTCGAAGTAATTGTTCGTAGCCTAAAGCAAGATGGTAGAACTTTCTCTCGGTAATAGCAGTACGCGAGCATGAACTTTCTTCCTTGAACTCTTGCTTCGAAGTATTCAATGGTAGATTTTCCAAAATAGTATCGACGAACGCGAACGACGAACAGGACGCATTCGAAAGTAGCATCGAGTTTCACCGTTTACGATTCCCCGAGCAATCTTAAAACAAAAGCTAAAGAAACCTCTTGTATATGTAGTACGTTTCTTGATGTATCAGTGTGTAACCCAGTGTATTTTCTTTCCCTTGGAAAACGGCCGCGATGGTAAGCATTTGCCAAAAGGGATTCAACTGAGAAATAAAAGAGAAAGAAATAGAGAAAATCGACCGAGTTTCGAGAAGAAGAAGAAGAATAAAAAAAAAACATAAAGTTTCAAAGAAAGATATCTTACGCGAGACTTTCTTTATCGGCTGACCGGATTCAAGGAACAGCTAAGATAAGGATAACGATCCGGGGTCAAAGACGTGACGTTAATTGGAAAAGGGCCACGATCGATCAACCAGTACCATCCCCCCGCCCGCCCGCYCTTCCTTTTTCGCAATAACGATACAGACCGAGTAATGGTCTGTGATAGTATTGGTATATATAATCCCGAAAGGAAAGAAGAATCTTTAATTGGCTTCAACGAAACAGAAATAATTTCCTATTCTAAAGAGTCGTCATCTAGGCTACCATTGACCCGGACAATTTTAATCTTATATATCTAAATATATATAAATTACGTGTCACATTGTTTGTCCGCAATGGACTCCTAAACTACTGAACCGATTTTAATCAAATTTTCCACACTCTGTGCAGTTTCATTCAACTTGAAAGATAGGATAGATTATTTGTTTATTAACAAAAAGTTATGATTATCTCTGTTAGTTCGATAAGATTCTAACAGATAGCGATATAAGGTAATTCGTTATATTATATATATATATATATATCTACTTCTTATACTTGTTTTATATTTCGTATAATTTTGTTCTTTTTACAAGAAAATTAATCATAATTCTTTCGCACGTTCCAAAGAGGGAGAAAATCGATTAAAGCTGGTAATAGTAGATTTTTCACGAAAAACATTTTTATTTTTCTCAATGAAAATACGATCTCGAAGGAGGAGTCCGAATAACGTCCAAGGTGGTACGATTTTCCGCGTGACGGAATTAAAGAAAAATTGTTCTTCTCGTCTTGAAAGAATCAATTCCATTGAAGGACGTAAAAACGCGAAAACTCGAATGCCACTCCTTCCTTCCTATCGTACGTACCACCAACCTTCTTCTATATAGCTATGAGAAAGGAATAGAGAAAATAATAGAAGATGGAACAGAAATAAAACGAATGAACCAGAATAAGAAGAAGAAGAAGAAGAAGGAAAAGAGAGAGAAGGTCTTTGCAAGGATCGTTCTCGTGTCCAAACGTCGTATAGTAGCCACCTCCTCTCTCGTAGCGTTCCATTCTCCAACAGTGTAAAGCTTCCCCTAAGCCAGTTTCTCGTGTTTCACAATCTCAAATGAAACAATCGAGTACATTCGCACCGTCGTCCCTTAGGGATGAGAAAATGGAAGAAAAGAGACAAGAGTTTCGAGCATCGGATAGATACAAATCCTGTAAACACAGGATTCAGATATAGTTCAACGAGAGTTTCATTCTTTCGAGCCGAGTGAAAAAGTGAATGAGACAAAAGAAATAAAACGCACACACACACACACACACACACACACACACACACACACACACACACACTTTCTGTTATTCCATATCTTCCTGACGCCTGTTTGATTACGGAAACAAGAATTTTTGAATAAACGATGCGACAAACTCGTTCAACGATCGTAGGGTATGTAACTATGTCGATGATTTCAAAGGAGTTTGATTCTCTAACTCGACTCAAGGCTTCAAAGGAAAAGAAAAAAAGAAAAAGAAAGAGAAATAACGAATGTCTACAAGAATGGAAATTATAAATCGTTCGATAACACATGCGACCTAGAAAGGAAAGAATCCTCAACTAAGCCACGACATAATTTCATTTGATTTTCCACTTGACTGTATCACTTCAATCTATCCATAAATTCTTCTTTCTTCGGCTATCAAGCTATTCGATAAAACTTCTCTCATGTCCGACTGACTAACAAAAAGAGATAACGAATGTCCGAATAAAAATAATACAAAAAAGAAGAACGATGTTAACTCAGGATGTATGCGCTAGCTGGACGATGAGAAAAAGCATACCAACTCTGCGTGTTTGTAGTCAAGTTTTTTTTTCTCCTCCTCTTCTATGCTGCTGTGTTTCCTTTCTTTATTTCATTCGTTCTTTTCATGAAATAAACTAGAAAATATAAAATGCGTATACGTTGTTCACGAATGTTACGTATATGTGTTTATATATAAATATATAGTAGATATAAAGTCTGAAAAATATACTAAAACGCCAAGAAACGCGAAGCCCTTCTTAGCAAAACACCTGTTCAACGTAATTTCCCAGATGATAAGAAAAAAAAAAAAAGAATAAAAAATAAACGTATTCTGTTCATTAAGGTTTCTTGAAAGCCTTATTTCTTTTCAGCTCGTTTATACAGCCTTTTATCGAATCCATAAAGTATCGTCGTCACTTTTCTCGGTTCTCTCTTTCTCTCTTTGAATCTGCAGCAACGAATGGCATCGAGTGAAAAGTTTCTATTCATAAGTTTTCAGTCAATGCTATGCTCGCCGACTTTGTGGAAACTTGTCGTCGAACTAGAATCGGGTAACAATCGAAAAGGATAAAAAAAAAATCAAATGAATAGGAAAAATAGGTGAATTTTGGAAACACGCATGAACGGATAAACGTCGTTTTCCTTTCACACTCTACTAAAGATCCTTCGACTTCAAACGATTCCTACCTTTGTCTATTTGGACCAAATTAACTAGCAGAAACTGCAATAATAATTAGCGGCTTCCCCGACAAGACGAGAGACACAAATTGAAATTGAAAGCCTCCAAGTGGACTTCGAGCGTGTCGACGTGTTACTGACAGCCAAGCTCTATGGATGGCTGAACACAGACGTCGTGCTTGCAGGACTTTAAAGCGCAAATTGCTCGTATTCCCTCGTCGATCGTTCGAGGCTTCCACTCGAACTGTACTAAATTGCTTCGGTCACCTGACGAACGTTCAATCTCACCTGATCTAGTCGAGTCTTCCCATCCATTGTTTCCAAAATATTTAATCTATCCTGTTAAATGTAATATATGATAGAATGAATGAATAAAAATGGTAATAATATACAACTAATAGAGTCTAAATTATTGTAATGAATAAATTGTATGAATGTGAACGAGAAAGATTATAGTTTGATTAAACTCTATAATATATTATATAATAGTCTCATAAGACACACACAGCTTTGATAAAACGTGTTCTATTCAAAAGGTTTCAATCGTCGATAAAAAAAAAAAAAAAAAAAAGATATGAATGTATGGAAATGTCAAAAGTAAATAAATCATAGATATGATTTCTATTTACCATGCTAAATTGACTCAGCTATTTTCGTCCACGATCGAACATGATATAAATGAGTTATCAAAAATAAAAAGAAATTTCTTACTTCGCGTTCCTGGTATTATCACAAATGCGTATTGTTTTTCTACAGCTTAACTAAATTTAATGGCATCGCATTTATAAATCCTATCCCTTTTTTGCTCATGACAACGCAAGCAGAGAAAGAAAATAGAAATACGTTTCAATGAAAAAGCAATTTGAATAATTGCTAATAATACAAAGCTAACAATTGAATGATACATTAAATGAAAAAAAAAAATAAAATAAAATTCATTTAAAATTAATCAAAGAAATTTATCATTGCAAATGAATAAAATGAAATATTTCAATTACGAAGGCAAAGCAAGTAATATAAATAACTGGTTAATAATTAAGACGTTGTTCCGACAAAAGTCCCTGAAGTTTCTGACGAAAATGTCCGATATATATATAGTCTTCATCCCGTGGCAATTAACGAAACTTCGTTTCGTTTCCCAACGTCTGTGATATTTTCCACGCACCCTTCATTCCTCATCTAAAATACTACGCTTCGTATTTGATTTCGTTGTGTTCGAACGAATAAAGGGACGAATTAATGTACATGTATTTGTAAAACTTTTCAAACATATTTCATCAAATTAATCGAATTATAAATAATAATTAAATTGTTGACCAATAAATACAATGTACACAATATGTATATATATATAGTATAAGTATATAATCTTGCTTCCATTACATTATAGTAACATAAATTCTTATAATTTCCAAATGCGATATCTTTATATATATTAATTCGAATAAAATATTAAATTGGTATAAATATCACAAGATTAATAGTATATGGTATATGTTAATGCATATTGTATGATATTTTTAATTGCATTTAACATATTAAATACTTACGATTACACTTAATGATTCTGAACAAATATCATACAATAACAGCATCAAAAATACATTTACAATTAATATATATATAAATATATATATATATGTATGTATAGGTTTATTAAGGTTCATAAATTTGAAAATTTTTTGTATATAATTATATCACCACTTTTAACACATTATTAAAGATTGACTTTTTGAACACTTTATGCATATTAATATGATAGAAGTATAAGTTAAATCATTATTTTCTTTCTTTTTTTTTTTTTTTTAATTTCAGGAAAATTGATATCAAGGAAGCAGAAATAGAAAATATACATTGAATAAAAATTTAAAAAAAATATATATATATATATTAAGGAAGCAGGAATAGAAAGTATATGGAAGAGATTCGTTTAAAATCAAATAAAGAATATATGATACGTATTAAAATGGATGACAAAGGCAAGGATGATAAAATCTTCTGATAAGGAAGAGACATGGAAGACAATAGGATTGTACATTATAGGAAGCAATAGCTTAGAATATTGATATTCACAATTGAAGATATTTCTGATAAATTTCAGAAAATATTCTAATTAAATGCCTTTAGTCACAACCTTTTTACCCAGAATCAAAAGCCTTGTAATGAAGTTAAGTGTTCGGTCTGTTAGCCTATGAGAATAAAGGAAATATTCTTTCCCCTGAGACCTCCGATTGCAATAACAATCAATAATCTAATTGATTGCCTATGCAAAATCACATTGTCAGCAATAACAAGAGCTATTAGGAGGCGGTGTCTCACGTTCATGACATTTCAAAATTTTTTGATGCGGCAACAATGATTTATCTACGGTAACTTCCATTCTGCGCATAACATGATCTAACAGAACATCTACTGCGCGTTCAACATTTTGTCCAGTAGCAGCACTAGTTTCCAAATATACCAAGCTGAAAATATCAACGGTTCAATTATACTTTCCTAAAAAAGCAACTATAAGATTTACGCACACTTATTTCTTCTTTAGATGTTTATACGTGGACAAAATTTAATCTATCATAAATAAAATAATAAGATCTTCAATAATATAATTTCATAAAGCTTACAGTTATTAAAAGAACTTGTAAACTCACCCATGTTTATCCGCTAGATCACGTGCTTTATGCTCGCTAATAACTCGCTTATCCTCAAGATCACATTTATTACCGCACAGAATTATATCTGGATTTTCACAATATGCATGCATCTGTATGTATATATGAAAAAATAATGAATCATTATATAAAAGAAACAAAATTATTATTATAACCCTATGATATTCACGAACACTTAATAAAGTCATAAAGAGACTCATATATCTTGTAAATGAAATCGAACGACAATTTGAGTTTTTTCCTCAACTCATATGTAAACCTAATTGTACCAATTAAAAATGTTATTTTAAGCATATCTACACTACATGCTCTAATCTATATCCATCACCATGCTTGATATGACCAAACAAACAATGTTAGTTAAATTCCAACAGTCTTCACATACTCATACGCATACTCATACGCATACTCATCGCATACTCATCGCATACTCAAAGAATCGTCCGAATATATTATGCAATATATTAAACATATATTTAAATAAATTAGCAATAATCTACTAAATGACAAGTACCCTAAGCTGTTCCAGCCAATTTCTAACTTCGAGAAAGGACAGCTCGTTGGTCAGATCAAAAATTAATAAGAAACCCATGGAATCCCGGTAAAATGCTGTTGTTAAACTTCGAAACCTGAATGTTAATGATATTAATTTAAATTAATAGTATTAATTTGCATTTCTAATTATGTTATAAATCTTACAAGAACATCATGCACAGCGGTAAGAAATATTATCATACTGCGCAGTGAACATTGATGTTGCATCAATTAGACCGCTATCATTTAGTATTGAATTTACCATCATGCAATATTTTAAATATATAAATTAGAATAAAGATTTAAAAATATCATTAAAATTATTGTACCTAATGTGAATGTTACTAATGTACCAAAATATACCTCTCTTGACCCGCTGTATCCCAAAGCTGCAAATGTATTCGCTGCATACTCCCATCTGGCATCTGATATGTCTATAATCAATATAAAATAATTATTAATAATAGAACTTATATAAAAGAGACTCTATAATAATAAATAAAATCAAATGCATACTTACTACTCTCTTTTCTTTAAAATCAATCCCAACAGTGGAGACAAAGCGCGAATGAAAAGTGCCATCGGTGTACTGATACAAGAAACTGGTTTTCCCAACTCCAGAATTTCCAAGGGCCAAAAATTTAATTAAGTAATCGTAATCCATTTTTATTTTCTTCTCTTCTTATATGCTTCTTCTGAATAATATAAATTTATATAATGAAAAAAAGTGTATCAATGGAGTGTGCATACACTCAACATACTTCTTGTCACTTTGCACAACAAATATTTGACATGAAATTAATCTTACAAATTTATGGCAGACTCATTACTACACATAAATATATGTATATTTATTAAATTAAACATAAAAAACAAACTTTATTCATAATCTATTTTTGTATATGCATATATATGTTTTTTGTCTTATTAGGTGTTTCTTCTTTACAAGCAATTAATGTGTCAAAAGGTAAAATAACCTCAAAAAAATATCGTTTATGTGCATTCGTACAAATAAGATTCTACTCACTTTTGCAGGAAATATATCAAATGTTAAATAAATCTTTCAAATTTAGAACTGACTCACACATATACACAAATACGAGAACATGTGTGAAATTAGACTTTGCCACCTGTTGCCCACGTACGCGGTTTTCAAAAAGATTCGCGCGTAACAAATTCGGAATGTTACTTCAATTAGAATATTATTTATGTTAAAAATAAAAAGAACTTACATTTTTTATCCATAAATTTGTAAAATACTTCAGAATAAAACCATTTTACACATTATAACAAACTGTAATTATTCACTGTCATATCAAGAATAGACGACACGACGACGACGACGACATATGCACACGCGAAAAAATGGCGCCGATTGACTCAGTGCTACCAAAGTCAACGAAGTAATTTCAAACGACTTTTAAAAATAATTCTACTTTTTATACATTATTTTCAATCAAAATTTCACAATCATATTTTAATTAGAAATATAACGAATGAGGTTAAGTTTTATAAAATTATAACTTTTTTCCATTAATAGTTCGTACATTGATGTTAATAATATTAATGATCGATCTTACCATAGGTGGTATATAAATAAAAACGAAATGAGGACATTGTCCGAGTTACAACTGCAAACTATCAATAATATGCATTAACCTACATATTCATGTAACTTGCAATTTTCTATTTAACATTAAATCGATATATATCGATATATTACTATTGGCAGTAATGTATCACACAGATGCGATAGGTTTACTTTATCTCTAATTAAAATCGATTACAAAATTTTATCTATCTAACCTAATATGCACGATGTTAAAGTTGACGTCGAATACTGGTAAATATAAATAATTTCTTTTTTACAAAGTTCTATTATATTAATTATAGTCAATGTTATTGTAGAAAGAAGAAAATACATTTCTAACCTCTTTATCAAATATTTAAGTGTAATATTATTTAAATGTGATTTTAAAATATCAATCATAAGAATAATTTGTACTAAAGTTTGTAATATTTTCACAGTGAAAACAGTAGCTGTAAACAACAATTTTTAGATATGCTAAATGCAATAGAGAAGAATGTACCTACAGCCAAAGTGTCTGGAACTGAAGGAAAAGAAGGTAAGATAACTTTCATATAAAATTTCATATATTATAAATAGATAAACATAATATGAAAATATTAATTTTTATTTTTGCAGAATCTTTTGAAATCAAGATAAATGATCAATTAGTTTATTCAAGACTTCAGACATTAGCATTTCCTGACTATGAAGCGGTATGTGAAACAATCAAAGATGCATCCAACGGTGGACCTGTAAAAAAAGTTACCAAACAACAACCTATAGAATGTGTAATATCATGATCTTTGTTTAAATATGTCAGGTAGAGTAAAATATATTATTTATATGAATATTTAATTACTACTTACTGTAGTATAGTCATTTTTTTATATGTATATATTATAAAATATATATACTTTTACCATATAAAATGATCAATCAAAATATACAACATCTCCAACATTTAATATTTCTTCTTTTATTGTCGGTCTAGTAAGATATATGCCAAATCTTAATTTTCCATGAAATTCCTCTGCTAATGTACGTAATGGTTCTACTGTTTTAACGCCTGTTGTTTGATCAATGCATATCATTTGACATCGATTGCAAGGTCCATTTACCTATCACGCATAACATTTACAGAATTAATTCTCTGTTCTATTTAGAGTAATATTATTAATTTGTATTAATTAACAACCTGGAATTTGATATTGCCTATTCGTATTACTTTCCATTGAAGTTCTTCGAAAGCTTTACAACCGCTTAAAATGATGTTTCCTCTAAATCTATGGACTACTGTATTTTTATTAAAATCTTGTGTATTAGCAATTTTATTGCATAGCCATAATATGCTTTCTTCATTCAATAAAAGATATTGAGCTTGGCTCGTAAAAGATAATTTTGGATTGTTCAATTCTTGAAAAGAAAATACATAATTAGAAATATATATAAAAATGAAATATTACTTTAACGTACTTTGTTTTGGATTGTCTTGGATTTCGTGATCAGCTTGTTTAACAAGTTTTAAATTTGGACGACCAATAACCAAACTCAACCACTCGGACACATCTCCTCCACAATCAATACCTTTAACTTTTTGTCCGCAAACTCTACTTTGACATATCGCACCATTTATATAATTGTCAGAATACTCCAAAGGTACTTCTATTGATGGCATTCCTAAAAGATTCATTATAAAGTTGAAACGATAAATAATTATAATTATTAACAAATATTATTTTTACCTGGGTATGTTAATTTTATGACTTTCGTTTCTTTACATATGAATGGTTTAATTAAACAAAGATTAGTTTGCTGTTTTTGTGTCAAACAAACTCCATTTGATGTCATTATCATCCACTCTCTGTCATATTCTAAACCTTTTTCATTCAAAGTCCAAGAAGTAGTTACTTCAAATGCGCCACATGACTTTATGGGATAAATAAATAATTTTTTGATAATAATATTACTTTTTGAATTGTTATTGTTTAGAAAATATTTTGCACCGTATAAAAATGGTGAGTACCATGCATTATTCTCAAACTCTTTTGTATTATCTTTATCATTTATAACATATTTCTTATTTTCAGCCTTAGTATGATGCGATTTACGAAATTCTGGTACACATATGTTTCTTTCTGATTTGCTAACAAAACATTTAGTAATCATTTGTAATAAAGTCTCAATATCTTCGATCATAGACATATATCCAATTGAAATTCGCACAGCACCAGTTGGTCTACCATTTATTAAATCTGTACTACCACCACACACATAGCCTGCGTCATAATTTTTTAAAATGTCTTCATTTTTAAGGGACAGATGTCTTTGACATGCACCAGGATTACAGAAACAACCAATTCGAAGATGTATTTTAAAAAGAGCAGCCATATGTGCAACTTCCATATATCCAACGTATTCACCATTTGATCTGAGTACATTAAATGTAACAATACCTCCTTGTAAATTGGGATCTTCGTAGTTATTATCTGAATAAATTTTGACAACAGGCGTACCATTATCATGACGCAAATTTAATAGAGTATGATGTAAATATCTTGCAAGTGTGAATACATGACTTGATATTTGTTTCATAGTAATTTTTGAAAGTATATCTAATCCATATTGCAATGATATTATAGATAAAAATGGTATAGTTCCATCTTCAAACCTATTTAAGTATTGTAAATTAATTATTGTAATATTATAAAAAAAATAATGTTATCTATAATTTACCTTTGATATAAGTTTAAACGTTTTACATGAAATAATTCAGAACTAAGAGTAACTTCAACAGTGCCTCCTCCATAATAGATTTTTTCAAGAACGTGCGCACTAGAATTTTTCACTAGTAAAGCACCAATACCGGTTGGATATCCAAACATCTTGTAAAAAGATATACATACAAAATCTGGTTTAAATATAGATAAATTTAAATCATTCGTTGGTACAAATCCTGCTGCATCTAGGAGAACGTACCACTTTGTATTTAATTGACCAGTTACACTAGAAAGCACATTATTATGTACATTTTGAATCCACTTGAGTGGATATTTTGCACCAGAAAAATTGCACTGGGCAGGATAAACAAAAAGCGAATTATTGTCACTTGTTGCATTGTCGTTGGAAGAAAAATTCACTGGTTGTTCTAATACTTCAAATGCATGTTTATGATTAAGACAAGTTACTTTAATTCCTTTTTGAGAAATAACTTCTCGCATTCCAAGTACTGAAGTATGATTATCTTGAGTATAAACAAAATCTCCTGTTGATTGAACTTCATTATTTTTATTATTACTGAATTGAAATGTTTCAGCGATCACTTTTAATGATTGTGTTGCACCAGATGTAAATATAATACTGTATTCCTCCGATGACGTATGAAAATGATTCAATATCCTAAAAAATTAGAATATATAAATGATTAAACTACTGAGTAGTTAAATTTATTACAAAAATAATATATTTAAAATATAAATTAATATACCTATGTCTTATTTGTTCAATATTATCATGAGTATTACCACCAGCAATACCAACGGAATGTGGATTGCCATAGAGAGAGTTACATAAATCATCACTTACACTTTTTATTTGTAAATCAGAATAAAGTGTAGTACCAGCATGATCCAAATAACACTGTTCTGGAATAAAAATAAAAATCAAATACAAAATAATAATGCTATAAGATTATACATGCACTTGTAATCAGTCCAATTTTTGTTTTTTGTTTTCTTAAATATGATGACATATTCCAATGATCCCATATACAATATTTATTTACCTTGAAGTCTTGAAAATTCATTTCGAATATTTGCAGCAATCCTTTTATCATAAACAGGTTTATATTGCACAATTTTTTCGGACTCTTTTTCCATTGTTAAATCTCTTGAAAGTTCCTCTTGACGTTCTTACGATGTTATGATTATACTTGAATACATGTAACTACAAAAACGGGAAACGATTACTCAACACGACTGCAACCATTGGTTACTATCTTAAGTACTTGAAGAGTAGACTGTAATGAAAATAATAAGATATATTCATTAACTGAATTACGTATGATTAAATATCGTTCATATTTTCAAATTTGTGGAAATAAATAAATTTCTTCTGACGTATTTTGATATCACTTACACAACCATCATAATAATGACAACATAAGTAAATACTTAACACCTAAAAATACGTTCATATAAATGTGTGCGGATGTTTGTTAAATTACAACGTCATTAAATCATCATATGAATTATGCCATATGTTGCAATATAATTTTTCTTTTCAATTTCAATCAATCATATTAATATATACAGTGAATACTATTTACTTTGACTACAGAGTAATATTTTGATGTAACATAAAATCATATCTATACTCTGTTAAAAATTTATATTATTTATAATTCTTTACGTAATATATTTATTAAGCGATTAAAACAATTATTAAAACATTTTAGTTATTATAAATATTTAGAGACCTTCCTTTCGTGTGACGAGGTGGCCGAGTGGTTAAGGCGTTGGACTGCTAATCCAATGTGCTCTGCACGCGTGGGTTCGAATCCCATCCTCGTCGAATAATTTTTTTTTATTCACAATTTCATTTTTTAATTTATAGTATGTACATAGAGTATATAAGATAATTATTTTTTATGTGTATGCAATTTAAACTTACAACCCTGTAGATTATTTATAATCGTCAGTAGATAGTAAGGCATCTATAAACAGGAATTACGAAACTATCTATATTTCATATGAAGTCATGTGAATATCGCTTTTTATTTATAAAAAAAAAAAAAAAAAAATAATAATAACAAGATGGCAGAGAGTGAAAAACAAGCTGCCGAGAAACAAGAAGAAAAAGAAGAACATATTTCTAAATCTGAATACAATAAGAACGATAATATTTTCATTTCTAGCAATGAAGAACAAATTGACTATGTAATTTACACGCATCCTATAGTGAGTAAAAAAAAAGGTTACATTGATTTGACAAATTATATACGAAATTATCGAGATATGGAAGCTCGTGCTAATGTCCAACGAAGTAAACGTCAGTTTATGCAAAAATCGAAGGGCTTTACAAATATAGAGGACGATTCAGGAAAACGAGAAAATGGTAAAAATGTTTCGTCAACGTTTACGGACGAAACTGATGCTGAAAAATATACGAAGGAATCTAAGAAAACGATCGGAAAAATAACGGAGATACATGAGAGCGATAAAATTGACAGTTCGAATGCAACACATAAGGATGGAGACGTTTCGATGGAAAATATCCCTGTTGGAGATGACATGGAAAATGTTTCGGGTATGAAACACAATATATATAATATAAATACATTATACTTTTATAAAATAAAATTAAAATATTTCTACGTGGATTGATTGAAAAGTATTGAGATTAATATAGAAACAATTTTGTATTTTTCATTGTTCAAAACTATTCAATCTATTCACGTAAGCCTTAGTCTAATTGTAAATATATCAAATACAAATTTTATACAGAATACAAATTAAAAAAAAAAAAAAAAACAATTAAAACTTGTAGAACAGACCAACATACTGCCAGAGGAAGCATACATCCAACATATGGAACGTGTCATCGCATCAAAGACTCTTCCATCACGAAAAATGGAAATTCTCGAAAATTTATACGCCAATTATAACTCAGATAAGAAGAAGAAGAATAAAACGTCTACGATAGAGAAAATTCATATTGAAACTGACGTTAGTACTTTGAAACCTAGTGAAAGTAAAATTGTTACTCAAGAACAAATGGAACAAGTATCGACAAGTGAAAAGGGGAAAGCTATTCTTATTTCCAGTTCCAAGGACATTGATAATGTTCATCAATCGAAAATGCAGGACATAATAACTGAGAACCATATTTCAACTGAGTCATCAATTTCTATTGTTGAGAATGACAATAGAAAATTGGAATCGTTGAAAAGTGATTCGTTAGGGAAAAAAGGTGAAATTTTAACGAGCACACCGAACACCACGAGTGTTGTCGACAAAATCAATGCTACTACTTCTAATCTCGATAATACAAAGAATAATGATGATTCATATGAACAAACTTTTATAACTATAGACAATCCTTTTTCTGATTTTACCCTACAAACGAACAAACTTGATACAAATGTAGAAAATAGTTTAATCGCAGAACGATATAACTTTACAGATATTAGTGAAAATTCAGCAAGTAATTTAATATCATACAACAGTGAAAATGTAACACTGAAAGAATCTAAAATCATAGATTTTTCTGAACAAAATGATACCACAACAACCGATATGACAAATCTTTTACAATGCACTTGCACTGATCTAAGAACAGATACAACGAATAATGAACATGATGATAATAACAACAACAACAATAACAACAACAACAACAACAATGATAATGTATCGATAATTGAACGAATCCGCAGATATTTTTTATCTTTATTGATAGATTACTTGCTATCTTCGCAAATACCGAAGATTAAGAATCAAATTTGCCTTTATCATTGATATATCAATTCAATCTCAACATGAAATAACTTTTTTTTATCAGAATTTGAAGATTGACAAAAGGAAAGAAAAAAAAAATGATATTATCACGAATGTCTGTTTTATCGAAAAAAATTGTTAATTACAAGTCCAAAATGAAAGGGAAAGGCCCCGGGGGGATTCGAACCCCCGATCTCCTGTTTACTAGACAGGCGCTTTAACCAACTAAGCCACGGCGCCTTCGATGGACGCTAGTTCTGAACTATTCAATTTATTTTTTCATATATATATATATATATAATAAATGATATTACTCTTATGATGTAGAAAAATGATTAAATGTATGAGTATGTATATGTGAATATCATTAATACTTACCAATTGGATTTAATCAGATAATTTCAAATCTTTCGACAAAAGTTACTCTGCAATCCTTAAAGAACAGAAATTTATATAAAAATGAACAAAAAAATGTTATTGCAACCAACTATTTTTCTTGTTTTTACAATTTATACTTTTTTTTTTACACTTTGAATATTATTAGTTAGTGAATATACTTTAGATAACTAACAATGAGTTTCAGTTTTAAAATGAACTTACTGTATTTACTGTTATTTTTGTCTAATGTGTTAATAATGATTTACATACCATTACGATGCATAAGTATAATTAAATACTATGCTCAATAAAATTCATTATTTATATATAATATTTACTTAATAATACTTGGATTATTTTTGTAATCATCAATAGGATATATTTTGAGATTACGTTTATCTTTTTGATCAGTTGGTATATTTATTTCATATTGAAGTAGATTATTATGCGTGGTATTTCCTTGTTATATCAGTTTCCTTATTGTTTAGGAATAACAATGAACTGTTATCGTCATTTTGAAGGTGTTCTATGAAATTTAGATAAGCAAAAGATTACCGTCACGTGGAGTCAATATATCTTGGGTCTTTTAAACATTTTCGTTTATTTTTCATAGATCGAGTTATAGATAATATTATTTAAGATAATATTATGCATTATTTTTCTTTTTTTTTTTTTTTTTCATTAAATAAGTTTACTCTAATTACGGCCGTTTTTTTTTTTCTTTTTTGTAGATTTGTGTTATTACTAAACACATTTCGTTTAATTAGATTCTAGAAACAACACGCTTGTAATATTTTCTCTCGTATTTTTCCAGTTTTTCTCATATCACTTTCAATTTCAATTTTTCAGAACTGGACATATTGTATCGATTTCATATCAGTTACGGCTTTGGTTCGATACAAAAATAACAGATCTGAAGGATCGACTAGAAATTGGAAATAAAAACCGATATCTATATCAGTTTAAACATTTCTTTTTTTTTTTTTTTGGTATTGTTTCATTTTACAGATTATATTTTTTTTTTTTTTTGATAAGGAAAAAGAATAATATAAATGTTCTAAAAGAAATACAAATAAAAATGAAGAATGTAAATAGAAAATATAAGAAACATATTTAAAGATTTCAGTCACAATAATTAGATAGCTTAATTTATTTATAATTGATCAATGTGTTTAATCGAAATAGATAAAGTATTAATTTAAAAAAAAAAAAAAAGTAAACCAACAATTTCGCAGTCGGTAGGACTCGAACCTACGCTCCCAGAGGGAATCTGATTTCTAGTCAGACGCCTTAACCACTCGGCCACGACTGCTACTTGCAAATGTTGGCAAGTTAATAATAATATTAATATATATACATATATACACACATATATATCAAATGAATTCATTTATATACAGTAATAATTATTACTTTGATTATTTTTTATAAGAAAAAAAAAATTCATAGGTGTTTGTATTCTTAATATTTTGAAGTCCGAAATATTAGCAACAATTGTTCTTAACTTAAGTTTCATAATATTTTATGCATTATTTAAATGGCAGTATTATGTAATGTATGTATATGTGTACATCGTGATATCAAAAAAGAAAAAAGAAAAAAGAAAATGCATCGATGACGTGCATTCAATTTTCAGTTGATTGTTAAATTATAAAATAAAGAAATAATAGTAAAAAAAAAAAAAAATAATCCATACATTTGACCCCGACGTGATTTGAACACGCAACCTTCTGATCTGGAGTCAGACGCGCTACCGTTGCGCCACGGAGTCTTGGTTGAGGAACATGTCTAAAGTAAGATATTTATGTTACTACTATAACAAAATAAATTAATTTAATTTTACTCATATTATATTTCATTAAATAACTTTGTAATATTATCTTATCAATTTTAAAATCCTAAAAAAATAATCTATTTATATAATTAATTAAATCGAAGAGAGAATTATTCATCGACGTATAATAAATATATCGATCAAATATATTTAAAAAAAAAAAATATAATTTACAATTTGTAAATAAAGTAGAATTATAGTATGATTATTTGAAAAGAAATAGATCAAAGTTTTGCTTTACTGATAATTTACTTTTATATAATGATACGTTATCTAGTTTCTATTTATTTACGTATTAATCTAACTCAGAAATATATACATATGTAGATAGTGAAATCTAATACACATAGAATACTTAAAGAAAGGATGGGTTAGAACGTTGTACCATACGGTGGCGCATGTGCTTGGTAATATGCGATCGATGGGCGTGCTCACATCCCGCATGCGAGCATCCAAATACGCGGCACGCATGAAAGTAAAGGAGATTCTACCTCTCCCTACATTCAACGAAGTTTCGCGCGGGTTGTTTCATCGAGCCCCTCCTAATACCAGGCTAACATAATACTAATGTTAGTTCGACCTCGACACGTTCTCTCTTATTACGAAGATATTCCGTCATGCCTTGACTTTCGCCCGTGAGGAATTTTTTCAACAGGAACGCATACAGGGACCTGCAATTCAACTGCGTACGGAGAAGCAAGCGTTCGCGTGTCTTCACTACGTCGAGTGTATACGTATACTTCAAAAGATAAGTAAACACATGCGTATCGTTTACGTACATGTATACGTTGCGACATTCAGCTTGGAGAATATGAAAGCATTACACGTGAAGGTTTCTCCCCACCGGGAATGTTTGTTAATTTTAGGGGAAAGCGTAATAACGCTCGATATGTTGGCAAAATATATATATATATATATAATCTTTCTTTTACACGAGTCTTATCGAGCTTCGTTCGAAGTGTACATGAATGAGTTGTATGCGAGAACATTGACGTGACTCGAGTACGGTTTTAACTCTAAATGTGTGTGAGTATACTTATAAGAGAGAAAGAGAGAGATATACGAAGTTTATTAACTTCAGTTTTGGGGAAAACAGTGTCACTGTCCCTTGATCGGCTGTCTTACAGAATACTAAGCCTTCCAGAGAGTTTAGTGAAAGTCTTTTAGCACTGATCACAGGCCAAGACGTTCGCATAATCCTTCACGAGTATACCTGGGCCACCAATCTGCCGAATTTCTCGCTATTTCGAAGTCAATGAACCAATAAGCCCGAGGAAAGAGATCATTGTGGACCAATAAAGTGACGATACGTCACAGAGGTGCTTAGGGCCCGCGCGGCTCTTCCTCAAAATTATGTCTTTCCGATCCGCGGCTAGCATGAACGATACGAAGCATAAACCGTGTTCGTCCCTGAGCTTTACACAATTTACTAACTCGATTTTATGCTTTCCTCGTGAGTTGTCGGTTAAATTGTTGATTATGTCCATTCTACCCGCTAAATGTAGATTACGAAGGACTGTGAAAATGATCAGAGGACAGATAATATCGACCGCCATGTTTGTTAAGGCGAAACACACGAGAAACGCGACAAACTTTTTTTTTTTTTTTAATAAAATAAATCATGATCGTTCCTTATACAGGTATACGGTACACATTTAAAGTTTTTACGTGCATTTTGTTGTTGTTTTGTTTATTACATTTATTTGTTGAGAATGAATAAATGACGAGAGGAAGAAAGAGAGAGAGCGTTGAAAATTCTTTTCGAACGAAGGCCATGTCTGATTTGTTTTTTGTCGTCTTTAAGTACGATTGGTCATCTCAACGATGTTCATTGGTTCAATGGAATAGCCTCGAAGGCACCGATGATGACTGTTACATAATCAGGAATAGACGACGAACGTTCGATGATTAACAATCAGAATCATTTAGACTCAATCAGTCGGTACAGAGAAGTAGGAAAACATAAGAGCAATCGAAGTTAAGACGTAGTCGAGTCTCAGATAAGACGGAATATGATAATTTATTGATAAACGAGAAAGAGAAAGAGAGAGAGAGAGAGAGAGAGAGAAACATTGGAATAATTTTCTATATGATGATTCACGTACGAAGTTCAATTGGAAAATAACGTTTGATTTTCTCATTACATATAATAATAACAATGCAATTTATAAATACAATAGTATCATTGTTATTTCATTTTTTCTTTTTTCTGTAAATAAATTTTCCTTTACTTTTATTTTATTTATTTTTTCATACTTTGATAAATATTTTCACAATTAATAATGTTCGAAATAAATATTTTTTTCGTATATCATCGAATAAAATGTTTCTCTTGAAATAAATGTTAGAAATTATCCATAGGGACAGATGGCAACAGAAGCCCATAAGATGATGGACCTCTTGGAAGGTCGTACTAGCCTAGTGCCAGGAGGGGCTAAATAAGACAACCCGCGCGAATACTGTTTAACCGTACAAGAGAGAAGAAATTTCTTCGGTCCATGATATCCTAATCTCTTACGGTTCTTATGCGGGATGTGAGCACAAGCTGACACAAGTGTCACAGAAAGAAAGAAAGAAAGAAATGTACAACGAACTAACTAACATCAAACAAGAGAAAAAATGTCTTCCAATACGTTTATTGTATTTATTACCATTATTGTGGTTAACTAAAATATTATATGTTTTTCTCTCTATACGTGTGAATACTGTAATTCAAAAATTTATATTATTTTTATTTTTAACAAATGAATTTAAATTAAATAGTAGAACAACATTAATAGATTAGATAATTGCCAACTTATGATCTTTTGCATTGCTATTTTTTTTTTTAATTTCTTTGCGACTGATTTGCAATTAACATTTTAAATACAATTATCCGAATTGTTTGAATATCTTATATAATTTATAGGATTAAAAAATAAACTCGAATATCATGGAATATCATAATAATAATGGTGTCTATATAATTATTGTTAAAATTGGCAAAAAAATAATATCTCACTTGACCCCGACGTGATTTGAACACGCAACCTTCTGATCTGGAGTCAGACGCGCTACCGTTGCGCCACGGAGTCTAGTTATTGGGAAATCAAAGATAAGTAATGTTATCTTGAAACCTTACAATTATCTATGACTTGAAAATTATTCATTTCATATTATTCAATAATTTCAATATGACTAAATTGAAGTAATTTATTATTAAATCTTTATGATTCATTGAAAACCTTAATTGATTTCCTTTCGAATACCATGTAGAAAAATAATTATTGATTTTATATTATTAATATAAAACAAAAAATACGAAAATATTATTTTAATTTAATATGACAATTATCATGGAGAGAGAACAAACGTATGTAGTTAAACGTGGATTGAAAGTGGATAAAATACCCACGCACGCGTTTTATTCTACTACCAAAATTCAACTCGAAAGATGAAAACAGGATCGATAATCATAGGGCGTGGTCCGTGGTGGCATCTTTCGAATAAAACTGGTATCAGGATAGCAAGATACGTTGGAGAGTCATCTTTCAGTGTAGATATTTTTTCTTTTTTTTTTTTACTTTTATTATACCTACCTTTATTACGATTTCTCTTTTATTGTCATTCCTTAGGTAGCAAGAAGAAAATCGTTTTTACCAAATGGAATGAATTGTCCGGAATGGCGAGCCCCCGACAACAACAATCTCAACAGGATCCCATCTAACTGCAAGAGCATAAGAGAGAGAGAGAATATATATGTCTTTTCTTTAATACACATAACCTTCAAAAAAAACAGAACAAAAAAGAAGAATATTTTACCTTGAAAAATCTTGAAATATTGCTAGTCCATTTGGTCGAATTAAAATATAATTAACAATGAGAGAAAAATCACGTTATAATATTTAATTAACTCAGTCAATAGAATGATATATAAATGACTAGTACAAGTGTTGAAACGTTAGTAATCTATAGATACGATTCACTCGAGTAATATATATACAACTGTGTGACGCGAGTGGTGCCGCCATATTTACGGGCTTAGTATCCGAGATTTTCGCCAGACGTCGCATAGACTGTTCGAGCGGAATCGCCATTTTTACGGCGTTAATATTCGAGATTGTCGCTAGATGTCACACCAAAATAAATCGTTGATACACGTGAAGCTACCATTTTGACGGTATTAGTATTTGTGGTCGCCGCAAGACGTCGCACGAGTGGTTCGCCAGTGCATGGCGGGAGATTAGCTCTGTTCGAGTATGCGATCCTGTTAGGTGTGAACCACGGCGCCGCGTGCCGACGCAAGCCATTGGACCTTCAAAAGAATCGCACCCGCGAGCATACACTAGGGATCGGGTAAATCTCTTCAAATGTTAGCCACACGAGTAATGTCATCTTTCCTGCGTACGCATCTTCTTTCCATCGTCCTTTCTAGAGGATGCAAAAAAAAAAAATAATACTGGCAGCGGTGGGATTCGAACCCACGCCTCCGAAGAGACTGGTGCCTTAAACCAGCGCCTTAGACCGCTCGGCCACGCTACCGCGATTGGCAAATTTTAAATGTTCTATAAAAGCAAATAAAAGAAAATTCTAATTAAAATATTGCAATTTAAGTAAATATTTCATTAAACCGTAAGGTAACAATTTCTTATGTCGATTGTTTTTTAAAATTTGTCCATTGTTTCTATAAATAACAATTATTATTAGATTTATATTATTTATAACAGGTCAGTAAATACACAGACGGATATAACAGACTGAAAGTTATTATGGACTAAGGACGCGTTCTTACTTTCTTTCACATATTTATATCACAAAAGAGCTACACCCCTTTGAAGAGGGAAGGAAATTATGAACCTTATTGACCAATAACAGAAGGATCCACCAGTCCACCTCCATAGTCCACCGATGGGTACAGCTTATGTTTTTGGTGAAGATCGTAGTGGAAACCATGCATAAAGGAACTATGTTTTAAAATAACGGAATATCGTTTCTTCCTATGGTATCGCATGTGTTTACATAGGAATCCGAAACCACTTGAAGGGGGCCTGACACGGCACAAAGGTTTTCGTCGGAATTTTGCTGCGATGGCGTTAATACATAAGTACCTCTTTTATTCGACAAATTACTATTAATTATAATTAGTTTATAATAATTCTAAACAATCTCTCACACTCACTCTGACCTCACAAAAAGCACAAAATCCGCGAATATTCGCAATCTTACCGCAACTCGCTAATCACTCGCTAATCATTCGCTAATCACTCGATTATCACTTTGTCACTCGTTCTCACCACTTGGTTCTCACACGCTCTCTCACGCGTGACTGCACTCTCCTTATATGTTTCTGTCCACCTCACCCTGCATCCCTGAGGAATGAACTAACCTTCGTACCGTTCTCGAATTTTCCCAACGTCCGGTTCGATCTAATAAACAAAGCACCGATGTCGTTCGAAAACCTTCTAGCTCACACCAACTTACACACACACAACTTACATAACTTACAAAGAACAGACCTGCACGCATCGTCTTTCTTTATTTCGACCATTGGGTCCTTTTCCCTTTAGTTCTTTGTTGCTTACGTACCCACTTATCTATGTTTACTCTTCGACATTTAAAACTCTCCTACATTCTATAAAAACAAATCAAGCAAAAAATCTAATTCAAATATTTCTATTTAAGTAAATTTTAAGGTAACAATTTCTTATGTTGATTGCTTTTTAAAATTTGTCCATTGTTTCTATAAATAATAATTTTAATTAGATTTAGTTTATCGTTTACAAAGGATTTGGTACTAGACATCAGTTATCGACCACTAAGGGTTGACAATTATTCAAGTACTTATATTACTATTAAAAAATGGGGATTGGTTGTAGAAGGGTGAAAATTTAGAGTTATATATATTTTTTAATGCCAAATCATAAAAAAATAAAAATAAAAAATTTTGTCCAAAAAATAACAAAAGAATTTTTTTTGGGTAAACCACCCTTATCACTTAGGATTTGAAAAATAGTTTATCTCTTATTCTCAGACCTATCAAATATACACACAAAATTTCATAAAAATCGGTCAAGTCATTTTGGAAGAGTTTGGCTACTAACACTCTGATACGAGAATTTTATATATTAAGAAGATACACACACATACACGCGAATGTATATCGGTGATGAGTAAGTGATCCATATATAGAAACGCTACCCACGTGCACTAATACGAACTTACACTTGTCACGAATATATACGCAGCAGCGATCCCGAGCCGCACACTTTTTGTGCTTACGCTTGAGCCGAGACTTGTAAGCTGTGCTTTCTCATCAAGTTCCGTATTCGAGGAAAATCACGAAGAAATTAATTGAAGAATTAAAATTCATCATGCCTGGACGTCCGTTGTGGCAGGTAAGCGCCATTTGGATACGTTCCACGTGGCTCGTGTGAAACATTTTTATTAAAATTGTACAAAAATTGAAATTTTTATCAATTCAATCGGTCAATATTAATAATAAATTTCATAAATTCAATTGTACAAGAAATATATATTTGGAAGTTATAAATAATAAACATAAAATTATTTGTTTTACCAATGACATAAAAACGTTCGGGTGTTTTTCTAATCAGCTGTGATTTGACAGATGGAATCGTCGTACAGTGAACTAACGAGTAAAGCTTTTTTATTTCACTGTACAATATTGTTCAATAAATAATATTTGAAATAATATCTAAAATTGTATCTACGAGTTACGAAAATATATTTTTTTTTTAATTGAAATCATTTGACTAAACAAAATATTCGTAATGTAAAGTTTTGCTTAATAACCCACCATCTAATTTAGGACTCGTCTTTCATTGTATTTTGTTTTTGATCGTTGACGTGAGTCAGCGATTACGCATCATCCTGACGACATATTTTGTTTGCTCTTTAGTATCTTACCACAGAGATTTATACTAAAATAAAAAAAACTTATTTTTCAATTCGGTCAACTTAAAAAGTCAGAATGAAATTCTCATACAAAGTTTCATTGTATTTGATAAAATTAAAATATAAAAAAGGAACAAGAACAAGATTTGTATATTTAATACATTGAAAATAGTCCTTAAGGTTAATCCCCATGAATAAATTATAATAGGACCATGACCCGAGGTCCAGCAATGGCTGACGCTTCTACGACTTCCAGAAATAACTCTAAGGTACACTTGTGCCAAGTAAAACTTTGAATTAACTTTTTACCACGTCGGAAGATATTCGTTTTAGTTGAATTTCTCGAGAAAAAAAAAATTGTGTGTCATCATCGTATTACGAATCTTGAATAAAAATTACACTTTGATGAATAACAACATCTGTGATCTATATCTTTGAAACTTCAATGAGAATACTACTAAAAATAATCATTCGGATACATAAATATCATTTTGAATGTACAGAAATGTATATTTCGATGATCAAATACATTCATAAACCTACGTTTATTGTTTTTTTTTTTTTTTAATTTAATATGAAAGATCACATGAGTCTTTGACAATAGGTCATTTTGATTGTACACATTTTTTAAAATAATTTGTTGATACTAATTTTTCAAAAGGTTACTTACGTATTAACGCCATGGCACCGCAGCAAAAAATTCCGCTAATGCGCCAATAAAGAGCAATCTTGTTGTTCGCACACAACAACCTTGTTGACGGTACTGCAGTTGCGTTAATATTTAAGTATCTTCAAAAATTACTAAAAATCAATAGAAAGTTATAGATCGATAAAAATATACATCTACGATACAATCGATCGTTATTTGTTTTTTTGTTTTTTTTTTTTAATCGTAATTACAAAGATAGAAAAAAAAAAAGTAGGTATGCTCATTCGTTACATAAGAAAAATGTATATTTTATTTTAATATAAATCTTATATGTGTGAAAAGAGACGAAAGATATATAGGATTGTGGATAGGCGTACGGATATTTTTTGCCATATTTACATCGATAATTAATATTAAATAATTATCATCATCGAAGATCCTAACACTTCTTTCATTTATACTTCGAATCATTCTACGAAACATTAAAAATATTAATAAAGAAATATAAATCAAATATTCGACAATTTGTCCATAAATATTCCTTCGTGTATGTGTGTATGTATGTATGKCTGTATAATAATAATAATAATAATATCATTTAATATGTAAAATTGAATGATTTTCATTTTGTTTTCATGTCATGTCAAATGTTTGGTTTATCGGGTGGTACTAATAAATTTGTTGAGATCGAATATAGACGTGTGTCAAAACATTCGCCTCTTTCTCTTCGTCATCCTTTCCGTCGTTGCCATTTTTTTTTTTTTTTTAATTCGATTGATCGATTTATAGCGAGATGTAACAATAAATAACTGTTCCGATTTCACATAGATCTACATATGCCGAGTGGTTCCAAATCCACCGTGACCCGCTTGGCTCGCACCCTTGTTGAATCCCATTTGTAAATTGAGTTGACCTTCGCTGGCACGCAATTGTTCTTCCGTAAACGTCCTTTTATTTTCATCAGCCATTTTTGGTCCCAAACGGGGTCCATTGTATTCCGGATGTTTTTGAGTCTGTTTCACATAGAAGAACAAAATAATCAAATCAAAGAAATATCAAATTCTATGTTCTATGTTGATTACTCACAATCCTGCCAAGTGCATAAAGACAAAGAGTCACTTGAGGAATATTGCGTCTTTCAAAAAGATCTGCAGTTTGAAAGATTTCTTCCTGTGGTACACCATATTCCTTGATAGCTGCTTGGAACCTAAATCGAATAATATTAACATTTTCATTGTTAATCTTTTGCAATGAGAAATATATATTTTCAAATTTTCAATTGATCAAACAAGTTCATTAACCTTTGAACATTTTCCATAAGTTGAAAATTCGTTCCTTTAGTTTGTATCTTTTTGACGGAACCAGGTGCAAGTTTGTTGATTAATTTACAAAGTACAACACCATCTTTGAGAATGTCCTCGTAATTTCCTGGCGGAAGTTTTTCACCGAGTACGTCCTCGATCCAAGTGAGAACTTCCCCTTCTTGTTCCTTGTTGCGTGCCTGATGAGTGAAAAATAGAAAAAAAAAAATAAGAGAAACAAAAATCAAAAGGAGCAGAGTTGTTTTTTTTTTTGATTTTTTTTTATCGCGAAGAAAGAAAGCTCCTGTACCCACTTCATTTTCATCATCATCTTCTTCTTCTTCTTCTTTTAAAAAGCTCCAAAATTTATAAATAGAATTCGACTAATCTCGGTTGGTATTAAATTACTCACGATGTGTAAACCAACCGTCGAAAATAAAATACGACAGGCCGTAGGACGTAGTTTCACGAGTTTTCTATTAATGACACGATTATGCATTTTCGCCCACCTGTTCGACTATTAACGCTAAATTACGTGCACTATTTCTTTTTTTTTTTTTTTTTTGGAACACATTCGAAGAAACATAAAATTGAAAAATAATAACAACAATAACAATATTACTATAACCAAACTATAGCAACGATTTCATAACTAAGTTAATAAAACGTTGATCGATTTACTGCGTAAAATTTGACTGACGCAAGTAAAAGCCAAGCTGTTCTTACATCTGCCAACGTTAAATTAGTATTTATAGCATTAATTTGAAGTACAACACGAATTGCATGAATGTATGTACACACACACACACACACACACACACACACACATACACATACACATAGATACAACAAATAGTACATAAGTAAACAACAGTATCCATGCACGAGGTTCAATCGTCAGGAAACACTTGTGGCAACGTTTCGCACGATCGCAAATGGATTATTTTTGGAAAAGTTAGGAATGCTTTTACAAATCGTATAACAAAGATTATACAATCTGCAATCGAGATCGAAAGAAACGAATAACAGTTGTGTCTGTCGGGGTTTGCATTTTGATTTATCGTTTTGCGTCTGGAAACCTGTCGATGTGTTATCCATCAAGTTTTACGAATATATCGAATGCTTGTCGATATTTTTATCAAAGCTTTAGAATGATCAATATTCTTTTTTTTTTATTTCTCCCACATGTTTGTCTCTGTCTTCTTACGAAGTTTTCTCGTCATATCGAATAATCCTTGTCGATATTTTTATAAAAAAAAAAAAAAATCTAAAAACTTCAGACGATACCATAAATTCTTTTTTCATTTCTCTTCTTTTCCTTCCAACCTTCTCTCTCTCTCTCTCTCTCTCTTTTTATGTTCCATTTATCAATCTATTTTATGTAACTCGTATGTTTAAAGAATTATTTTTAAACATTATCGATGATGTATCAAAGAAAAGAAAATGGTAGGAAGGAAGGAAGGAAGGAAGGAAAGAAGCAACGTGTTAAACTCTTCAAGCCCTCCTCACTCGAGATATTTTAAGCTTCATTCTCGAATATGTTATCCGTTCGTTCAAACTTTCATTTTACTCTCCTAACCAAAGATTTGTTTTCTAACACGATTGACTAAATTTGAAGCTCGATTATAGTACTTAATTCCAGTAAAGTTTGGCCTAAGATCAAAACGTTCGTTACTTGTGCATGCAAAAATGCATGCACAATGTTGAATTTGAGGATCAAACGATGGTAACAACATTTTCGATTAGAAATTTAATTCAATATATTATAAGATTTAATCTATTTTGACGTTAATTATCAATTATTAACAAACTTTAAGGTTTATTTTATTTAACTATAAATGTTGGTTAGGATTAAAATCACCTAAGTGCATGCATGCAATTTATTTAAGATGATTTGATTTATTTAAGGAATACGTGCTTAAAGCAAGGATCAATAAGTTCCTCAAAGATTAGTTTGACATTTAAACAAATTTGTTAATTCGTTGCATCCCTCTACCCCTCATAACGTTAAGGGTTATTGTCTTTTAACAGGGAAAACATATTCATTTATGTAAATTATGATGAACGAGATAAAACATACCGGCATTTTTCTATCGACTTCTGTTGATCTCAGGAAGAAAAGGAGTAATTTAACGAGATATAGAATAACTTTTGAACGATGTTGCAGAGTAGACTAAGTCGGACGGCTGGCGTCTCGATGCTATATGGTGTCATCCCCTCCCCCTTGCCCACCATCCTACTGATCTTCAACGACGAGAACTTTTGGCCCAGTGCCCATTGGGCATTCCCACACCCCCACTTGTAACCAGATCTTGACATTATAGCCTTATTTACAAGACTACTAGACACTTGGTTTTTTATATATCATTAATTATATATTTTTTTTATGGTGTGGAGTAACAACCTGACGAAAATATGTGATCCATGGGTGATAGGTACATCATTCTAAGACTCCTAAATATAATTGCTGTCATCTAAATCGAAAAATATTTATTTTTATTAATATAATAATTCATTAAGTAGAAAAAGGTTCGATTAAACGAACTGTTTGATATCGCAGTTACAATATATTTGAAATTTGGGTTATACAAGAGGATCCTGTGATTATTTTCGTTCTCTGTTCTCTTGTAGATAATATAGTTTTTTATCTTGGATACAATTTTGACGTTTTAAAAGTTCGAGAAACGACGTTTAAGATAATAATAAATAGTTCGACGTTTCTATATCGATGTAATTTTTCAATCTATTTTAAATCATTCTTGTATATATTCTGTATAATATTAAAATAAAAGAATGATAAATTCTTTCTACTTTATTATTTGTACATATATATATATATGTATCCGGGTGTGTTATTTTTAAAATAAAACGTTTAGGAAAAACGTCATTTTAAATATCAAATGTGGAAACGTTCGAACAAGTGGGAGTATTTTGCAATAAGAAAGAGAACGGTTAACTTTCGTGGATTGTCGCCAATTGAAAATGCCGATAAGTGTAAGAGCGTCGTCGTAATTTCTGGATTCTGGCCACTTCTAAGGGTGATGCCACCGCCGAGATTAGATTTCATCAATCAGCAAGCTATTTCCAAGTTTATCGTAAGCTATATCCCCGTTTACGTAGTTGCACCGACACCTGGAACGATTGTGCTACTATTCCATTTCAATTTATTCAATTTTGACGTAGTCTTGTGTGTATTTTAACAACGACGTCATCTTCTTATTGTTCTATGTTTATCAAATTTATATTTGTATTATTGATTATTTCATATATAAAAAATTAAACACACACATCAATCCAAATACTTGACAGTTAAATTTAAACATAAATTCAATAAGCAGAATCAATCGTTTTATCCTGTAAACATTTTATACATTTAATATTTTACATATATTTATTTTATATATATATAATATTATTTTTATTATAAAAATTAATAATAATAATAATAATTATTATTATTTTAATATTTTTTAATCAATATAATACTTTCTCTATTCTTGCTAGAAACGATTAGTAAGTTTCTTCCTACCGTTGCTTCTGATGTTAACTTAGTTTTATTTCTCGCCACTACGTGGCGTCGTGTTGCGAGATTTCTCACAAATGGAAATAGTCTACGACAGTATAAGTATCTGACTCTGCGGATGTCTCATCAGCTTTGCGCAGCGGCGATATCGTAACCAATGAGGTTCTGCCGAGGTGCGATTATTGCTAGTTGAAAACTTTTACCAATACCCCGCCATGACGATGTGAAATACCATCGGCTACGGCAATTTTTGTAAGTTTCTACGGAAACTGATAAATTATATCAAACAAAATTGTATCACTTACACTACACTCTCCAATTTCTAAACTAGGAAATTTAAGTTCAATTATGTTGAACATGTAGAGAAATTTCTTCTCTGAATTTACCCTGCCCATTAAACTTACAATTGCAATTCTGCAAATTCATTAATAAAATACAATTTGTATCAATGAACACATCTTATATTACAATATTTTGTTAATGACAAAGATTTTTCATGAATGATTTTAACTCATTCAATGAGTTTTTACTTACTAATTTCACCATAAAACTCAGTCATTGAACAAATTTCTTGAATTAAATAACCTTTTCCATTAATAAAATTTAATGTAAACATTTATTATTCTCTCAGGTTGCCGGAAAAAGAGAAGCCAGCCAAGAAGCTGAAGCTCAGCAATGGATAGAAACGATCGTAGGAGAAAGATTTCCTTCAGGTAAATTTATTATTTAATAAAATTGCAAGTAGCGTGCGTGCATTGTAGATAAGCCATTATTGATTTTACTACTTGGCTTGAACTTATAAGGGTTTACACTCCCTCGATAGATTGAACCTAACCCTAATATATGTTGTCCTGTTATTTGGAGGCGACTTAGAACCGCAAGTTCTTTTTATAATTTAACTAAAAAATCAGGAATAAAAATTATACTTAAATAAAAATTAAACGTGGAAAAAAGAATAAATAAAAGAAAAATGTTTTACAAACTTTTTCTAATAAAATAATACAATTTTTATATTAAACATAATAATATTATCTAAGAATTCATTTAATTTTTGTTCAATCAAAGTATTATTTTGCAATAACATGTTTAACTATTTGGTTCACATTTATTGAACTACTTGAAGAAGTAACTATCTACATTTATGTAATCCTATTACTTGGAGGTGGAAAGCTTCGAAAAAGCGTTTTGATGTGGTCAACACCCCCGTTGCTTTCTCACGCGAATGTACGAACATACGTACGAGGGTTGACGAAGTGAACTACCACTGAAATTATATGTTAGCCGGATAGAAATTGTCAGGTACGTGACGTAGCAAAGGACAAACTCGTTTGAAAGGTTAGAATGTTTTCTATAGAAACTTGAAATAATTTTCTTATATAATTTACTTTAAATATATATCTATTAAATATTCCAAATTTATTTAAGTATAATTCATAAAAATTTATTATCAATAATTAATGTTCATACATTTCGTGATTAATTTAACGTAATTTAAATAAATATTGTTAAACTTATAGAACCTTACTTGAACCTAGAAAAAAAATTCCTAGAAGGCTGATCGATATTTTAGGGGTAGTAGAAATACCACCTTTTATTTTATGTTACCCCAGCAGAACGCGCGCTTTATTACGTCACTACGAGCCACCCTATCGAATCCGGTTAAGAACTCACCCCTATGATTAACATGCTACCCTGCTGCAACAAACACGCAAGGCGTCGATGCAATTGCAAGCCAAATGATTTTTCTTCTGTGCTGAAAAGCGAGAGACGACGACGACGACGACGATGACCAGTTTTCTACCCTTTTTATTATATCAACAACTAGTTAACCCTTTATTATTAATTATTTTTTTTTTTAAATGAATCGATTCACGATTATATCGTAAATTTCGTTTGATCTGCATACATCTGTTAATATTGATCATAAAAAGTTGTTGTTATCAATTTGTTTAACAATTAATTCATTGACTATCATTTTTCTTAAATAATACGAGAATATCACATTGATAAAATATGTTAGTCCAATAAGCCTCTACCTTTAACTGTCTTCCTGGTTATACGGAAGTCTCAGTGGAGGTGGCCAGACGACGATGAAACCACCCCCACCGAGAATATTTAGTATAATCCCCACTATGAAATTTCCGTTCCTATGACCGTCTAGTTAGGTGGGGTGTTCTCCTCTACCAGTCGATAGGAAAAGCTCTCGCGACGAAGTACCAGCCTGATGCTCGTGGAACCAGTTTGCACCTGTCGAGAACGAGAAGAACATTACCTACCTGTCTTTTCTTCTTTGTAGAAAATACAAATGATCGATAATTCATTCCTCACGAAGAATGACATTCATTTTACGTTTGCAAACATCAACAATTTTCATTAGAAATTTGTTGAAATACTCATACGTATTTATCTCAAAAATGAAAAATTGTCTAAATGACAACAACAACAAAATATAGTAAAATTATGAAAATAAAAATGGAATTTGTGTTATAAAAATCATATTCGTTTGTTTAAACAATCTTAAAAGATTTGATTGAACGAGTATATTATACGTACAACACCATCAACCAACGAGAGAACATCCAGAACACGTTTGAGTCCATACTGTGCTTCTGATGGCCTGGTGCCACGACTAGAATTTATCTTAGACGCGTTTTATCTAGGACGAATCTATGTAGAAAAGACTCCCAACTGTGTTGTGAGTAGAATCGATTTCACGCTTTTCAGTTTACCATATCTCCTATCTACAATCTCCCTCCGTTCTCGTCTGCTAGCCGGATAGTCCAAGCTTTTGATGTTATTGACTCGTTTCAAATTAAACTCTTGATCGGTGTGATGATACGATTAACATTCCTGCGTTCAATAGAATATTTCTATTTCTATTCAACAAACATCAAACACCAGGTTGTCATCTAGGATCAAACGTGATTTCTGTAACTGTCCAAATAATTTCGAAATTGAATTAATCAAAAAATCAAGAGAACATTTATGACGACGGTTTTAATACTTCAGGATTACGTTCAAGTTACGTTCAACCATAGTTCCACGTTCATACAACTATGTGAAACTGTTAGAAAAGTCCTTGCTTGAGATGTTCAACACGCTTGAAGCTAATGTTGTCAAATCATTAGTGCACTGACTTAGCATATACAACAAGGAATACAATTTTGTCGACGTAAGGTATAGTAAACAAGAATTAACATCGTGATTCTAACGTTTTCGGATGATAGCCTGGTCATGGAAACTCGCCTGGTACGCTGGACGCGATCGTTTTTTCCTATCAACGACAAACACACGAACGTACTATCTAGAATTCTAAATTCTTGGAAATATTTTTTATCCAGTTTAATCCACAAATTTTACAATAGAGTATTATCATCATTATCATCATTAAATGATATTCTGATCAATTTCAAATTTCAACGAATGCTACAAAATATTCTACAAATTTATGAAACATTCTACTATCATAGAAAAGTCAAAGTAACGTGTCATTCGTTTGAATTTGTAACACAAAAGATAATTTGAAACGTCTTAAAGGGGTCTAAAAAAAGGAGATCAAAAGTATAACCTATGACGAGAGTTATCGATTTACCGTCATGGATTCATCATGTTACGTCGTAGGGACGCCAGTGTATCAGGACTACATAGGTAGGCCTTGGATAGCCAACCTAGTTGGAAATGGCACATAGTGTCTCCTCCTTTCGTTTCACTTCAAGTCTTACGAATTTGCCCTTTCACGAGTTACCTATCCCTGTCCCTCTCTCTCTCTCTCTCTCTCTCTCTCTCTGTTCCATCTACCAGTTGTCTTGGGTGTCGTAGAAAAATGGAGACGGTCCAGGATCTAAACTAAAACGGTGAATACGATGAAAAGAGAAAGAAAGCTTTTAAGCAGACTAAAACCGTCAGTCATCTGTCCGTCACGGCGGCGCAAGGCGTTTAGGTGCACCAGGGCATCAGCAGTCGTTTGAGGGATTTATAGGGTGTCCCGCCAACGTTTTGATGTCGACAAATCGATTCCCCACTTGACTATGTCCTCTAATGACGATCTCACTTTCATGCCTAACTCTTATATCATAAAAGTCAAATTTCCCATTCACTGAGATCGCTCGCTGATTGGTTTCACTTGACGCATGACGTCACAAAACCTTTCAACTATTAGGATAGCAAAGCTGAGCAGGGACTATTTGTCAAGGTCGATTTTAACCATCACGTCCTTTCCTGATCACCTATTCTCACTCTGATTCGGTATGAATTTCGTTTCGTTCGGTTATCGAATTTCGTTCGACGAAATCTGAACTGAGACTACTGATGTCAGTAGTCCGTCAAAGGGCCATCAATGACGTTACTTGGAGGTAAGCCTACCAGGGTTACAGCCCCGAGGCAAATTTACGACCACGTTCAACAAGTGTTTTCTCTTTCCTCCTAATCAACACGAGGCTCTCTCTCTCTCTCTCTCTCTCTCTCTCTCTTTATTTAAGTACTTATTAAAATGATGATTAATTTAAAGAATAGTATGAATTAGTATGTTTATCATTTTGAAATGATTTATCGATAAGACGGAATATTTGATCTTGTAAAAAATATTATTTATACACCTTAGATACATCGAAGAGTCAGCACCTTCCCAGCAATACCTGTTGCTGGTGGTTGTAATTTTAGTCACAGGATGTTGTCCTGATGAAAATCGTGTTTTTGACGTCTTTATGACGAGTACCTGACGTTTAATCGATACGGTTACTTCATACGCAAGCGCCTTGCTTGCTGCTTGCTATTCCACGAATTCCTTTGTGCCAATGTTCTAACTTGAAAACAACAAATATTATTTATTAAGAAAATATATAAAAATTTATTAAAATTATGATAATAATATAAAGAATAAAGGTTACATTTTTAATAACTAAATTTATATGATAAAAATCTCGATGCATAATTTTTATTATAATTATTAATTAATTTATTTTTTTTTTTTTATAGGAAAAACTGACTCATATGCATTAGAAATTATTGCAGATAATTATAAAATAAATCTGTGGAAATGTATTATTATATTTCTACAATTTAATTCTGTTCATTCATTAATGCATTTGTTAAATTATAAAAAAGAATATTTGTGATAAATCTTAGTGGAAGTTAAAAGATATTCAATTTACAATTATACAAAGTTACACGATATTTAACGAATTAATTAAYTTACGAGATTTTGTAATATCTGTTTTCATTGATTATCTTTTTCTTGATTGAACTCGTATTAAAAAAGTAGTTCGAACGTGACGACATTGACGTGTCAAAGTAACAGGATAGTATCCCTGATAGAAATCATTCTGATTTTCCAATACATATTGTATTGTTCATATTTTTTTCGTTATTCTATAGTTTTTCTTTTTGTTTTTTTGTTTTTGTTGTCGTTTTTTATAACCAACCCGTATATACGATCTCAACATATGTATATGTATTTTTATATGAATACACAATACGAATCACTCCGATGAAGGAGTACAACATCTGAAAAATATCAGGCCAACATCAGTATGATCCTTCTTCTGGATGAAAAGAAAGACGTTATTTTTCAAGAATCCTCATGTCTGAAGAGTATTGTCCAATGTGACGTTCTTATAAAGGAATATCGATTTTCTGTCACCTTCTCACCTTTACGACATCTCACGGTGTTTCAACAATACCAGGAATGTATCAGTTTCACGAGTATCACGATACCACCTTCTTGTTTACTACATGTACCCTATACTACCTATCGTTACTGTTTGTTGCATAGTGAAAAAGAGAGAAAGTGTTAAAAAAAAAAAAGAGAACAACACCATGAGTGCTGGTAGTAGCCGGGTTTCGATGTTTCCTGGATATCGTGAGAAAGGTATACAACACCTGTTCGTTCTTTTTCATTGCATCGTTTCAATATTATACATTGTTTCTTATTTCTTCATTCAAATTATTTAATACAATTAAATTATAATTATTGGATTGACAACTAAATAATTGTTGAATTTTATCAATGATTGTTCTGAAAAAATTCGCCATTATTTCATTGTCGATCTAATATTTAGAAATACATATTTCATTTTCTTATAGAACAAGCTCTTGATATAATTAATACTAAAAATAGCTATATGATATTTAACAATCAAATTAGATAGGTGTTTATATTTTATTTTTTTTATCGTATATTTCATTGATTAGATATTTCAATCTTTTGTCTGATTTTTATGAAAACATTTAATAATAATAATAATAATAAAATAAGGGTTTTCGTATCTCTAGAGAAGAATTGGAAAAATATTTCCTGATATTCTATTCGCCTGGTAAAGGACTTAAACACCTTTCGAAACTGCAACCTTTCACGAGTCGAGTACTAACGATTACCTCATGAGTGCCTGGCACGTGAGGAGATTGGGGGGAGTCCCCAGGGATAGGAAAACATTCTAAAAAAGTAGAAGAAACGAGATAAGAAAGAGGGAACGTTGGAATAAGAAATGAATGAGGACGAAGAGAGGAGGAGATGAGTCAAGGGAAAAAAAAGAGAAAGAAAGAGACTGTATATATATATACATACTTTAAAAGCATAATATACCTACAATCCTGGTACCAATCCGGCATTTTATACTCAAAGGTGAAACCCATCGTCATCTTTTTCTCTTTGTCAAGCAACTTTCATTTTCATTCTAATAATTACAATGTAAATTATTCTCGATTATGATAATAATTGAATATTACTAAATAAATATTTTTAATTGACGACGATTTATCCAAATTGATTGATAATGAAAATTGTTCAAAATAATACTTAAACATCCTTGAATTATCTTAAGAATAAAAGAAAAAGTAACAATTATATAAATAAATATAAAAGAATCACAAGATATTCAAAGACCATCGGCTGTCGATCGCTCGTCAATCCAGAACTCAGGTTTGCGACCAGTTTTATACTAGGCGAGCAGATTTTAGGGTAGGCATTTTACCCGGACCACTCCATGGCAGAACCACGTGACGTATCGTCCTTGCAGGATCAGGATGGTAGTTCATCGAAAAGCTGGCATGCGTGTTTGTTACTCCAGCCGAAAAATTGATCGTTGCTTGAAATCACAACCAATGTTTGATGTTTTCTATTTTTTCTCATTTACTTTATCTCTTATCTTTGAATCTTGTAAATTGAATAAAATCATCTTTTGTTAGTTTAGCAGCATAGATTTTTACAATTCAAAGGACTTATGTTTCTAAAAGGAACTTCTAATTCTCATTTATAATAAGTGTATGCATGTTTGAAACAAACAGAGGAGATACTCAAAGCTAAGTATGTTTTCTTAGTAACTCTGTAACTTTCATATTCATAGACGCTGCATATATTTCCATCCCCATTATATGCGGTAACGGTATGCAAAACGTGAAGCGGTAGAAGATGCAATTCTATGCGTCCCTGATTCCTCGGATCGTCTATCCTACAGCCATCCTGTTCATGCGTAAACATGGAATCTTCTCTTCTTCTCTCTTTCATTCTACTTATGGTAGGGTAGAGGTAAGGAGTAACATCTTTGTATATGAAAAGTGTCCGTTGAAATCGAACCAATTGAGGTGGCGCCACATTACCATCATGGTAAATTTTAAAGGAAGCACCAAATATTATTAGAGTAGGATTGAGAAATAAACAAGTACAATACATTTACAATTGCTACATTCATACCATACCAAGTGTCTACACCAGCGCCATTCTGGAAGGTTTTTCAACTGTTATTGACAGAAAACGTTGGACACTTTTTCACATTTTCTTCCATAAGAGATTTTACTCCTTACCTCTACCCTCCATTATTCTACTCTTTAATTATCCATTCCATTGAATATCCTAAAACAAGATACAATCATTTAAAAAAAAAATGATTTGTAAGCTTTACAAGTACTTACAATCAAGATTTTGAAGCTCAGGGACGAGAACAATGGCCTCGAGATTTGGTATTTGCGGCAATGAACTTTCCAGTTCCTAATGCCAGTTAATAATAATAATAATAATGTTTAACAATTTCAATGAAGAAAATAATAATTGATTTTGAAAAGAATGTTACAAATTATTTCGAAATTCTATTGCGAATGATATTTATAATAATATTTATATGATAATCATACATATATTTCCATAGATTATTATTACTTTCGTTCTCAGACTATACAAGTCTCGAGAAAAAAATGAAACACGATTGAAAAGAATATTTAAAAGAGAGGGGGGTTGAATAACAGCAGTTATCGATCCATTTTGTCGCTTCTCTTTCACCTCCAATTGGAAGATGAGAAACGTGCGCAGGAAGATACAAACAAAAAAAACAAGAAAAACCATGCTGAGGGAAGGATGTCTGCTATGCCATTTCGATAAGTTGCGTGAAGGTAGTGGTAGGACAGATGGCGTGGCAGTCGTCGATAGGTTCGATACATCAATGGCGGCGTGTACGGTGGAGGGAATCGAAAGAAAAAAAAAGAAAGAAAAAGAAAGGGATGTAAAAAAAATCGGGGGAGAAAACGAATGAAAAAGAATGACAAGAAAAAAGAATAAATAAAAGGAACACACGTATATCTATTTATATATGTATATGTATATGTATATATAGTATATAGGAATAATATATTGAAAAGAGCTCCTGAAGGTAGCTAAATCCCTGGCAATTCGAGATGCGGCGCGTCTTTCGAATGGAGACTAAAATGTCTCCTCCTTTCTTGTAGATAATTTTACTTTCGTAAATAAGAGAAAGAATCTAAGGAAGAAGAAGAATATTCGTGAAGACGCCAAGCAAAAAGGAAAAAAAAGACAAATACAAAGAATAAGAATAAGAAGTAGAAGTAGAAGGGATTGGGGAAAAAAGAAGATACAGAGAAATAGGAGGAGAAATGGGATGATGACTACACTCTGTAGACTACTCTGTTTGTCTACTCTCGATAAAATAAAACGCCATAGAATGAAAGAAAGAAAGGATCAAAGGAGGAGGGAAAAAAACAAAATGAAACGAACGACACAGGGAGAAAGGTGGTGGTTTGATTGAAGACGTAGGCGGTGATTCTTTCGATTCTTCGACAAGCTAGCAAAAAATGCCATGCCCCCTTGGCTCACCTCTTGGCTTAATGGGACACCATAAGAGAGCGTTGGTCGTATTTACTTTCCTTCCTTGCATTCCTTTTTTCTTCTTCGTTTTATTTTATTATTAAATTTGTCTCGTCTCTATGCCGCATGCGGCGTAGCTACGAGAAAGAGAGAACTAAAAGAAAACAACAACAACAAAAAAACAGATTTAAAAGATGGCTCTGCGTAAAAGTGAAAGAGAGAAGAAGAGAACTCCTGCTATGCTCCTCCCTCGTTGAACCTTTTCGTTCGTTGTTCAATGCTACAGAGTGCAATAACCGAGTACGAGTATGCGACTGCGCATTTAAAAATCAACAACACGATTCGTTCTGCGTTTTTTGGAAAGGCGGGAACGACTTATTCTGTGTTCCTGATGCAAACTCGCTCCTTCGCATTCTTTTCCTTGTCGAAATTGCTTTCTCTCTCTTTCTCTCCGTTTATCTCGCATTCTTTGTTTTCTTCAGTTCTTATATTCAGACTATTATCAAACTAATCAATGACACTTTATCATATAACAATTGATTATACATGTTATGTATCTATAATGTAAAAAAAAAGAAAATAAAAGAATTATTTATTTCAGGAGTCAATTATGAAGATGCTCTAAGAGACGGTGTATTACTTTGCAAGCTTATGAACAAATTGCAGCCTGGTATCATCACGAAGATTAACACTTCCGGTGGGGATTACAAAATGATGGATAATCTTAATCAGTAAGTATTTAATAAAAGAAAGAAAAAATGAAGAGAAAAATAGATTTATCGTTGAATTGATTCAGTAATCAATGATTGTAAGGAACTTGGGATACTACAGGTATCTCACTTTCACTTGATCTTATAATGACATTTGCTCTTGTTCGTTCATGTTCTCCTCATTATTATTCGACTTTACGCAATCGACAGTGTTTTGCGTTTCGACCGTACGGCATATCGATGAGACTAGTCCGATTAACGAGGGATCACATACGTCGATATCGAACCCTACAACTCGCGATTGTTAAATTATCGAATCGTTCTCCGTATTATTCGAGAGGAAAATCTCGAGAACTCGACACTATGCGATGACGACGACGACGACGACGACGACGACGATGAGGATGATGGTAAAAGCGCGCGCATGCTGCGATATTCTCAAGGTTCCACTTTCTACCTCAATTTTCTGTATCCCTGATAAATAAGTACCGAAGATGTCCGAGGTCGGAACCGTCGTTGCTTTCTGTCCTTCGATATATCCGACCGAATCGATTCGAGTAGTGGTACGTGAGCTGGTTAATATCGAGACCAAGCCAAAGTCGAGACGAATCGAGAGTCTCTTCTATTCTCCTCCTCTCTATCAGCGCATACATTCTCGATGCACCTCGATGCACTTCGATGCGTGCTCGCTCTCCTTTTCGAGGGCGCCAATAATACAAATAATCGACACATATATTTTTGCGCTAAATTACTCCTCCTTATTAAATCAATATTTTATCTTAATCTAATATATGGTTCAAATCTTTTTACATAAAATTGAAAATGTATATTTTTCATAAGAACTCTATCTAACAAACATTTCTAATCTTATATCCGAAAGAATATGGGTATTGGCATGGAATGCCTACAGTGATTGCTACCATCCTGATGAACTATTCGAACGTGAAGAGGTAACACGATTATTTTCTAGAGAAGCGTACTTTATTACACGGTAGAATGATTTTCAATCGGGTGCGTGTCATCGATTGAAAATTGAACTATAATTTAACGTGAAATTCTTCTTTTCATTCGAATCTCTTCGAGGTGCGAATTAATTATTTTATTTTTCTGATAAAAGAACATAGGGGGAATAAAAACCTCGAAAGTCTAAAAACAAGATAAATTCAAGGTGTAGTTTACAAAGGTGTAAAAAGATTCTTCTGAACCATAAGCGTGTCTGTCTCTCTTACGCGCGGTCCTTGCGCGTTTGTGAGTCAGCGCGCGCAACGTTGTTCTTATTCGTCATTCAGTGCGTTTTCGTTGCCGAGTGAGCGCTTTTGTGAGATGGTGGGGCGAACGATGCGCAGCGCGGCCACTCCGCGTTACTCCCTTTTTACGCGGCTAACATGTACGTACAAAAGTTCATTACGTTCTCTAAAAATTATTGTCAGTAAGTTAAGTAAGATAGCGACGACGGTTTCATTTCATATACAACTACCTCCACGTTTTTCTGATAACCCATCATCCCGAGGGCTTTCGAACACCGGCCTGCCTCACATTTCTTGCGTTCTTCTTCCTTCCTTCTATGGAAATCTACACGAAACAAACATGGATGACAGCGTCGAGCTATGTTTTCGTGTATAAATGTACATGATCATTAGTTGATTCATAATATCGGATTCTTTTCAATTATGTATTTCTTCTATCCATATATCTATTTTATTTCTATGTATGTTAGAAAAGATAAAATATGTCTACACATCGTTTCCTATTAATCACCTAATGTCATTTTATTTCCCCTCTACGTTAAATATTTAACGCAAAAGTTCGATGAATTCTCGGCATCTTGTAAGAAGTTCCATTTTTAATAATAATTAATTTTTTGTCTAACACACAATATATAATATAATTATTGATATTTCTATCTATTTATATACGAAGCATTACTTTAAATTAACTATACATATAGAAGAAATAAATGTGAATAAAAAAATGTTGCGCGATGATCGGATGTCGCGTTACAAGAGAGAGTCCCACATCTGATCTGTTTTTCGGTGCTCATACGCAAGTGTCGCGTGGTATAATAGGAATTTATGTTGGTAAGAAGTAATAAGAGTTCGATTTAGCGTTTTCAACGAACTCGCGCGTTAATGGGGGTTACGAAGGATGAACAATTTCTATGAATTATGTTACCCTGTTCTAATAGTACGCGTGGCGCGCCGTTCTTGCGCTACGCAAAGGTTCCTCGTTAGCATTTACAATGAAAACACGTCCCACTCGTGGCTTCCTCGTATGCTGGACTACGACGACAACGACGACGACGACGACGACGATTCTCTCTTTGACAGAAAACCGATGCAACCACGTCTCGACGATGTCTTCTTGTCGCTCAGAGACAATAGAAACGCGTCACCGAGTTAAACCATCGTACAGGCTAGCATCCATAGAAAGGAGTTTGCTCTTGTCGATCTCTCGTGTTCACCTTTCCCTTTCAGTTTCGCGCTTTCGAGGAGCTTTCTTCTTTTACTTATCATTCTTCGTTCCTAAAGTACTCTCTGACTCTCTTTCCAACCACACGTTTTACTTTTTACTTTCCTCTTCCCTTCGATATTTAAAATCATCGTAAATGCGTTGTTGCCTTTTGATCGTGTCACTATTATTATTACTTATTCTTTTAATTCCATGAAAAATATTCTATTTAGGTTTCAGAAGGCCTGCACGAAATATGGAGTTCCTGACGTGGATCTTTTCCAAGCGGTTGATCTTATGGAACGTAAAAATATCGCTCAAGTTACTAATACCATCTTCGCTATTGGACGCACTGTAATTAGATATTAATTATACATCATTTATTATATCTATCATATAATATTTGTAATCGTTTTAAATATCATTTACAGACTTATAAGCATCCCGAATGGCGTGGTCCATGGTTAGGACCAAAACCAGCGGAAGAAAACAAACGATCGTTCACGGAAGAACAATTGAGAGCCGGGGAAACGTTAATTGGTTTACAAGCGGGTACAAATAAAGGTGCTACACAAGCTGGTCAAAACTTTGGTGCTACGAGAAAAATTCTTCTTGGAAAATAAATTTCTGTTTTTTTTTTTTTATCAATGTGTGTTCATTAATAATAAAAAAGATATATCAACAAAAATAAATGTAGATAAATTAAGATAGTTTATAATACGTGAAAATGATATGATTAACAAAAATAAATATATTTTGTAACCTTAATAATGTATTTGCAATAAAATTGAAGATCTTCCGTTACCGACAAGATGGCCGGTGCGCCATTAGCGCACCGTACAGTAAATATAGTGAAACTTCATCGTAGTCGAAGAAGCGATTTACTTATGAAGATAGAAATATACAAACACGAGGAGATTCCTGCTCGTGAGAACATCACAAACACGATATCGGAATACATATAAGAGAGAATAGTGTGTTGGATGTTAGCTCGCATACGGCACGTATCTCTACCGTACATATATAGAATACTTACAGGTAAACTACGTTCGTAGATACGTCGAAGTGGTATGTCAGTGACGCTGACATGAGTGGGCGTGACGTGTACGTACACGCATTACACGCATTCCTCGAGCAAGTTTCTACATCGTGAGACTCCCCGAAGAACAGGCGAGCATCCGGAGATGGTGTAAACTTCTCGAGATTACGACTCACATGCTTATCCTTGTTTGTGAACGTGTCCAAAGTCCTATGTGTGTGTGTTACTACTCGTACTCGCATACATATTCATTACTTTCATGATAAACAAAACCTACTAAATTAGGCAGATAAAAGTAATTAACGAAATATAAAAATAATCGAATATATTTCTATTTTATATATCAGTTATAGAAATTTCGATAGGTAAACGAACAATATTCTTACATTTCATTATATTTTAATTGATTTGCTATTCGATGCAGTTAATTACTTGTTTTGTGTGGAATCAGCAAGAACTGAGGTGGAAACATCGAATAAAAATAGAATCGCAAAGAAAGGTTGATGGTAGCGTGAGAGAGGAAACGGAATATTATCGAACGTGGGGCAGGCCAGTTCTAGGGGACCCCCTGGTAAAGGATATCAGAAAATGTAAGAAGGAATAATCTCATGTTGATACCGTAAATGTATCTCTCTTTTGCTTCTTTGATCTCATGCGTTCCTCGTTAAAGGGGAGCGCTGCGGAGTGGCCGCTCCGCGCATCAATGCGCCCCACTATTCTTCGCGCACTTGGAAACCGCGTACGTACGAAAAAGCCGCGCACATTTATTCATCAACATTTTCTCTTTCGAAAGAGATAAACAAGATCCATTATTTTCATTATTTTTCTACCTCTTTTATTTTTTTTTTTCTGCCTTGAAATTGTCCCAAAATTTGTCCAATACGATTGGCGATCTGCGTTACCTGCGAACAATATTTTTATGTTAGATCAAATTAAACATACTTTAAATCGAGTGTTAAATTATATATCTGTTATATTTTATAAAATAATATCAATCGTTAGGTGATAGAATATTTTCTTAAAATACAAATGTAGTTTTTCTTTTATCTTTTTAAGAAATACATTTCTCTGATAAGTACAACAAATATGGCGGCAACGTCTCCTTGTTCAACGTTAATTCGTTGCATTTATGTGATTTTAATGACGATATAAAAATAATAACGCGCATGATAATTATAGTTATGATAATTTATTATTAATTATGGAATATGAATTCTCTTCCAATGTTTATAAATTATTACATTATATTGCTGAAAGAATAAATAGACGATTGATTTAGTATAATTTCTAAACTCATTGAGTAAAAATCAAAGTGAATTTTTTTAAATTCAAGTGAGAAAAAAAAACCAAAGTAATCGAGATGTTTTGTTTGTAAAGTCCAACGTTGGAATAAATTACCTAATTTCGGCACGAGGTCAACCAACCGATTCTGTTTTGTTTATGAGGTAATAAACGAGATCTATATATATAGTAGGTTAGTCTTTAAAGGTTACAAATAAGAAATAATTAGATAACTTTATCTGTCTCTGTCAATATTTTGGGATTAAAATAAAGAGTTAAATTACAAAATAATAATTATGCAATCATATAAAAAAAAAAAGAAAAAATCGTGAAAGTATTTATCGCAGTGAAAGTTATCTTTGTAATTCGTGTTAATCTCACATTCGTAATAACATCTCTCTTTCTCTTTTCAACTTACACACACACAACACACAGACATTTTTCTTACGTTGTAAAATATAGATAAAGATAGATAAAATATATTACGAGAAATAAGATGACGAATTGGATTAAAATTATTATTTTTCTTACATACCTGTTGATCGTTTTATATATTTTTTTAATTAAAATACATTTGTGTATGTTAGATAGTAATACATGATCCACGGCACGTATACATATATATATAAGATATATTTCTGTTTGAAATAAGAGAAGTTCGTAATTTTTTCTGTAGAGGGCAGTAGAAGAAAAAGGTTAAAACGGGGGGGTTGCATGCATGTGTCATCCTAACCTCATGCACTTTTTCGTATGTACATATACATACATATATATATATTATTAAATATATATATAGCAAAGTTCGTAGCTAAATTCATAGTGATTTCTAATGTGCAATCGTTAATCGACGTGTTTTGCGAGATATCGATATTAAACGTCAAAGCGAAGATGGCGTGTATTTATATTGTGTCTGGTTTTTAAACTTTATTTGAATTTTATCGAAAAGTGACAGGAAGATAGGATACAGTTATTCGATATATCGTCCGAATAATTCAAGATCGTATTAAGAATATTTCATTGAATTGGAATGTTAAAACATATTTCGAAACGTCACGTGCGATTTTGTCCACAAGGGGCATTTTATACTTAACCTATTCTCGTGTGAACCTTGAACCGTAGTAGTGTTTAAATTGATTCTATGTAGAGTAGATCTCTGATAAGTCTTAAAGATTACATTAATTTGTTGATTTCAAATTATTTTTTATTTGTCGAACCATCGCAGGACTTCGATTTATTTAAACAATCAAAGGGAGGAGAGTCAAAAAGCTTGTGTTTGAAATTAAACTTGATATTTATTATTTATCAAAACACACATATTTGGGATACTTTTTGTAATCAACAGAATAAACTTCCTTTGAATGTAGAAAATATTAGTATTTGGGTGAAATGCCAAAAATAAAAACCAAACAAACATCTAACAATTTATGGATAAGACAACGCGAACTTGGCATAACGTTTCCTCTTGGACATAATGATCGTTTTCACAAAACTCTTTACTCATCCATTTTTCCCATAACATCTTGGGATCATGGAGACAACTTGGCTGTCGCTAGACATGGCGGTGTCTTTAATTTGGAATATTCTCCTGACGGGTAAACATGTTACTTACTAACATACTAACATACAAATATTTAATAAGAATTATGAAAATTTTGTTATATATTACAGATCACTTTTACTGGCAGCATGCGAGAAGAAAAGTATTTTGATGTTCGATCCATTATGTAGAAAATTAATACGAGCAATAGATAATGCTCATAATGATTGTGTTAATTGTGTCAGGTTGGTACAGATTGTTTTGAATAAATTACAAATTTCCTATGGATCAGACAAATATGCTGTCAATCGTATACTGGTGGTAGATTCCTAGATCAGCGTATGTTTGCTACCTGTTCCGATGATAGTACCGTTGCTCTTTGGGATGCCAGAAACTTGAAGCAGAGAATAAGAACTTTACAGGGACATTCTAATTGGGTTAAAAATATAGAATATAGCCCTAAGGATGGCTTATTATTAACTAGTGGGTTTGATGGTAGTATATATACTTGGGATATTAATAGGTAATTATTATCAATCTAACAGACAATTGATAAATATTATTCAAACACAATCTTTTTATTTGTATACCACAGTTTTACTGAAAATAATTTTCTTTATAAACGCGTCTTTCACACTAATGGATTGATGCGAACGAGACTTAGTCCTGATGCTAGTAAAATGTTAATATGTACTACATCTGGATATCTTATCATTATACATAATCTTCAATTAAGTACGCTTTCTGATGATTTGGCTGGATTCAAGGTATTTGATGTATGAAATATATAATCGAGATCTATCACAAGTAATATATTGTATATTACATAATAGTAATATATTCTTTTTTCTGTTCTAGCCTAACATGTATCGACTGATGCAATTATCTCAAACCACTATACCTATTGCTGCCACTTTTACACATTTATTTTCTCATTCACGTAAACATAACAGAGTAGAATTCTTAACGGATTTTCCTGCAGGAGACGATGCAGAAGTGATCTCTAGTCTTCAAGTACATCCGCAAGGATGGTGTGCCTTGTCCCGGAATATCAGTAACGGAGAAAAGTCAGAGGTTGAATATCACATTGTATAAAATAGTAATTGTTTGATTCAACGAATGAATATATTTATCGTTTTCATATTAAATGATTTGTTTCCAGTGGACTTGTGTTCATGATATTCAAGAAAGAGACATGTCAGAATGTATAGATCAAGTGAAAGAAGCCGAAGAAACATCTCAATTAAATGAATCAACTATCGAAGAATTTGAAGATTCACAACAACCGCAATCTTCACGTTCAGGAATTACGTCGTCCTTCGTGATTGAGAGCGCAAATCGTGCAAGAGTTGTTCACACCGTATCCGATGTAAGACCAAATTCGTTTGTCTCAACAGAAAATTCACAACCGATAACACCGTTAAGAGCCATGAGTTGGCGAGAAAGTTCACGTCGTAACGTACGTGTTGTGCAATCAAGAAGTCCAAGGCCGGAAAGGAATTTTGTCAGGACGAATTTTGGTTTTATCGAGGTCAATTCGAATTTAGATGCTAACGTTTCTCGAATGAACGCGAATCAAGATGAGGACAGACAAGATAGTAGATATATTATTGGTACGGAAGATAATAGCGAAGGAGCGAATGATGATTCGGTGGATAATCGAGACAGAGATGGGGAACAAGAATACAGATCGCAAAGATCGAATTCACAATTGAACGATCTAAGAAGACGCAATGGAATGAATAATTTTCCTCCTGCCAATGTAGAATTGTACGTAAACAACAGTGACGTTTGGGAAGCTCTCGTGGCAATAAGGGAAGCAAGAAATCGAAGGGACCGCGAGAGAGAATCTTATCCGACTGCTGAGAGAAGTGACTGGATTGCTAGAGCTAGTAATGGCGTGAGCGTTAATATTCCTCGTTCATCTCATACCGTAGTCATTATCGGTGATAGAACTAGAACGCAAATTCCAAATAGACAGGGCCAACAAATGATGTACGCGATACCGAGAAATCATAAGATACATCAGAATACTTCTAGGTTGACTCATTATATACAAGAACCAAACGTCGGTTCTGGTTATATCAAAGAATTATGTTTTTCCGCAGACGGTAGATTAATATGTTCTCCTTTTGGTTACGGCGTTAGATTCTTAGCATTTTCCAACGATTGTGCCGAATTATCAAATTGCGTTCCTCCGGCTCAAGAGCCTGTGCAACTTAGCGAAGTAACTACTAGCTTCAGTCACACCGACATCGTAGTTAGTACGAAATTTTCACCAAAGCATTGCTTGGTTGTATCCGGTTGTTTAAGCGGAAAAATAGTTTGGCATCAGCCTGTACTTTAGTTGAATCTTAAGTTTACGGCTGAATTTACTATTATCACAAAATATTAGAGGAATTGTGGCTTCTTTTTCATAGATCCGTTTTTTCTTTTGTCGTTTGTTTTATACTAAAGCAACGTCCACTTCATTGATTTCATTTCTTTCTTTTTCCTCCTCTCATTTATTTATTTTTTGTTTTTTTTTTGTTTTTAAACAATCCTTAAATTTTTGATTTAAATATATTTTTCATTTGTATGAATCTATTATTTTTTTTTAGTAAATTCGATTCGGTTGCATGGACGATGGTTTTGGATTGCAATTTTCGGAAAAAAAGGTTTACGGTTAATAGATGGTGTGGATTATTTGATCAAAATGTAGTATATTATTTGTAAATAATTATTTTTGAGAAAACATATTTTATTTTTAATCAACCCAATCGACGAATTCTTACATTTTGATCTATGAATTGCGACAATTTGTGATGCTATATTTTTCTTTCTTATAATTCGTATAATAATTTCATATATTTTGTTTCGTATAATAAACAAAAAAAAATAATGCGATACGAAAATAAATTTCTATATATATATAAATATATATGTGTGTATATATATTATATATATATTATATATATACACACTCAAACATGCATACATATACATAATAAAAAATAATTGTAAACAACAACAAAAAAAAAAAGGTATAAGAGATAGTAATAGCAACGATATTTTCTAGTGAAGGTAAAAAAGGGAAAAAAGCGTTTCGAGAATCGTATAACGGCGAAAAAATAAGACATGCGCGCGTGCCATGCATACTTACGGAAAAAACATATACAAACAAATATTTATCTGTAATTTTAGAGACTTTCCGCTTACAAAAATACGTATACGTATGTGTGTGATCTCGCAGAGTGACATAACTATGACGTTATTAATTCTGTTTCGTGTAATTATCATTGAAATGAACAACAATTGCAATATCTTGCACAAAAAGTCTGATTAAATCAGCGTATAATTAATTTATACGCAAACGAGACAAATTGAGTTCGAAGATAATTGAAATTGACACGACTCATGGTGGTGGTTATATAATTATCAAATAAAAATTATCGTCATTATCGAATGAAAACTATTATTAGAACTTTCAATGATTACTATTAAATTTAAAACAACGATTGCAAATAAATCGTATGAAAAATATACATTGGAATGTGTATTACAAATTACAAAAAGTTAAAGGAACAAAGATGAAAGCAACTTTATATAAAAAAAAAAAAATCTGAAACGTTGACAGCCACGATAATATAAATAGTTCTTTGATGTTTAACGTTAGCAAATTTATTTGAAACTAACAATAAATAAGAGAAATACTTACCAACTTTCTTCTCGCCAATTAATGGAAACGATGATGTACAAAGTCGTAGCCAAAAAAAAGAAGAAGAAGAAGAAGAAGAAAAAAAAAAGACGAATCTTCGAATAAAATCAAATGCATTTGTTTAGATTTTATTTTATTATTCTTTGCTGGCCTGATCGTTAGTATCGTAAATCTGTAAATCTATGAAAACTGTTAGAAAATATAAGCGCACTATGTGTCATTATTTAATATATAATTATCACGCCGTAAAACGATTCAATGTATCGCCAATGTGATTTCGTTTTATCATCTTTATCAAAACAAAACAAAACAAAACAAAACAAAAAACAAAACAAACGAGAAAACAATTAATGGGGAAAAATATGGGAAAAGAAAATTATGTGCTCTATTTATCGAAGACAATATTGGATGTTGCGAACATTGATTCACGTAACGGAGACGTATCACTTCGAGCTCGAAATTCGTTAATTATCCAACATTCAATGCAAATTATTATTATTATTACTACTACTATTATTATTATTATTATTATTATTATTATTATTATTATTTTTTATTATTTTTATTATTTTTATTATTGTTATTATTCTTGTATGTACGTTGCATCTTTATTTAAACAAAAAAGAAGAAGAAGAAGAAGAACAGAAAACTTACTCGAAGAAAGAGTAAAAAGAAAAGAAACGAAAATAAGAAAATAGATGAAAGGTAATACGTGTAAAATATGTAAATAAGTTCTCGATTAGATTATATAGCGAAGGATATATATATAACAGTATCCTGACATACACGTTTGAAGTGCATTCAAAAGCTGGATCGAAAGCGTTTCATTTTAGAGATTTTTTCAAGCTGAATTTTATCTACGTAGACATTTTTTTCATAAGCGTTTTATCTTCAATGTGAAACTCTCGCCTCGTAAACGTAAAACGGAGAGAAAAAGAAAAAGAGAGATAGATAAATAGATAGATAGATAGAGAGAGAAAGAGAGAGAGAGAGAGAGAGAGAGAGCTTCTCTGACAGGTACTTAAGATGCTCGATCTTGGAATTTGTAAACGTAATGTACAGACGTTTCATCATAATATAATATCATTCACGTGCAGGTTCACAGATGTTCGCTTTTGGGAAAATGTGCAAAAAAGAATCCTATATCCTAGACTTCCATAAAAATTGTAATATTTGTTTTTTTTGTTTTCTTTTGTTATTATTATTATTATTATACTTTTATGTATAATATATTTAATTTTTAGTTTAAGTTTATTTTCTTTTCTTCTTATTCTATTGGGACCTGCACGAATGCATCGGGAACTACTTCAGGCGTATAAAAATATATTTGAAAGCTCGATCGTGAGATCACAGTGTTGTTATTGCACCGAAAATTCGTATAACATTCGAGATTACTTTTGAACATAATTGGTAACGATTAAATGCACAACATTTTCGTTACTAACACGTAAAATCTTATAATATCGAAACATCTAAATACTGTACAGTAGATAATAACGTACTGATTGTTTTTTTTTTGTTTTTCTTTACATTATTCTTCCCTTTTTTTTGTAAAATTTGTTTGTTATTCCTATTACCAATAAAATATTGCTTAAACTTCCAATACAATACACACAAACTCATACAGAAATTCATTCTACCCTGTCACGAGTTTAATTAAAAGAAAAAAAAAGCATTTATATATATATAAGAGGTTTGATATTGTTCGATGATAAACTTGTATCAATGTTTTTACGATTATCTTTATTTAACAAAATCAACTTATTTACAGAAGCTACTACCTCCTTGATAATCAACAGACTCTCTATCATCGCCCGATACTCTCGAACGACAGCCTCGGTTGGTTGACCGGTCGGTTACATGGATAAAAAAAGAAAAAACTATTTGTATAGTCAAAAAAACGTGCTTGTGACAAGTTGAAAAAACAATAGAAGAGAGAGAGAGAGCTTCGTACTAGATGAAAGAGTATGTGTGAGAGAGATAGAAAGAGATCACATCAGCACAAAGAGAAACGAAAGAGAATGACGAATGGCAATCACGAATCGGGCTGGAGATCGAGAGTGACAGGCGAATTGTACTAAATATAAAAAACAAAAAAAAGAAAATGTGAGAGAATGAGAGTGACAGAGAATGAGAGTGCGAGAAAGAGAGAGAGAGAGAAAGAGAGAAAGAAAAAAACCATTATACAGTTAGTCGTGTTCCTCTTCCCGTGTTATCGTCGCGTCGATTACTTTGTGCACCATTCAACCCTTTTGAAGGGTAGGAGAGACCAGTAAAGATCGACCAGCACCATCATCATCATCATCGTTTGGCGAACCAATCACAATCAGTCTACTAGCAACGCGAATTTTTCTTTGCGTTTTCCCCCCTCTTTTTATTAGACCCCCCACGTTTTCTCTTCAAATAACGTAATAAAGTATTATGGTGAGTATGACGTATTTAATATTAGCTAAAATTGTTTGGCCGGTGCTACCGAGCGTCGTCAAGTCATTTATGTTCTCCTCCTCCTCGTCGGATGTACTTTTGGTGACGTTACTCCTTCGAAATTCCGTACTTGACATCGTACGAGTTTCTTCGGGCGATCTCTTTGATCTTTCCACCAACGTGAGTCTTGTATTTTTTCGTGATTTCGATGTGGGCAGATCTAACGAGGGTGATTGTTCGTTTCTTTCGAGTCTTGTCGTTTTATCGGACGAGCGTATTTCGGTATTAATAAGGGGTGGAAGTTCTCCATTGAATTTACCAAATTGTGGTGTCCTACTGAGCACGTCTGAAGTTAGTCGTGCTTTGGAACGATCCTCAATTTCCGAGAGTGACCTAGCCAACGTGGAATCCTTGAGCTTTTTACCGTCGTAAGTTATTAAAACACCAGGAGTAACTGGTTGAATCTCTGATCTGGCAGGAGGTAAGTAATAGGATTGGAGACCGTCGGCAGCCATTTGCATGTCGTCTAATTCATCTGAAATTGGTTTCGAAGGACGATTAACATACGTTGGGGTAGCTTTCTTCTTTTGTTTTTTTGATTCGTCGAATGATGTTGGATTTAATGGGTTCATGGTCGGGGATGGTAAAAATACTGGCTCGAAATTTTTCCCTGACAATTGTTCGGAAAAGTTAGACGACTCTTTAATCGTTTCCTCGTGTTCCGGATCATTTTCTGATACTCGTTTTTCGAGGGTGTCACGGGACGGAGTGATTATAGGTTTGAAGCCACCTTCGATTACGATGGAGTCTGGATTGAAACCAGTGTTACGTGCTGGTTTTAAAGAGGTCATCAAATTATCCGAAATGTCCATGACAGTTGCTTCATGGTTTGATACTTTAGCTTCTAATCTGGTACGTTGTTTCGGCTCGAATTTCATCAATTTGACAATATTTCCATAGGAGAATTTTTCCGAAGTTGGTATCTTGTAAACAGCTTTTTTACGTTCCATGAACATCGATTTGGAAGGTGGTAGGGAGAAGGTCGGCGAGTTGATCGTATGAGAACTCTGTAAAATGGGTCGACGCGTAAGGACAGGTCTTCGTACGATCATCACTTGACCTCTCTGCTGTTCTGGCTGATGTTGATGGTAATGAAGTAGATGATGGAGAGGATGGTGATCGGGCGTGTAATGATGCGACGTCGGTCTGGAATATACGATCTGCGTTGTGGGTAGAGTGTAAGCGAATTTCATCCCGTGGCTCAGTGGTCTTGGATTATCTGCAACGAGGTTAGACAATGGATGGTTAGAGGACTGTCGGATTTCTTGATCGATCTCCGTGAACTGAGATCTGCTGGGATACGAGGAAAATGCCGTGGACGTGATCGTAGCTGAGGTCGGGGAAGACGAGGTTGGCCTGTTAACGTTGCCAATTCCTCCTAACTCGCTATAAATCGAGCTAGTAGATGTTTGGTGTTGTTGTTTTTGTTGTTGATGTTGTTGTTGGTGTTGACGTTGCAGAGCTTCCTCGTCGAGGTGCGCGTGACGATAGTTTTCCTTCACGCGTACCTCGTAACGATGAGGAATGATCCCATGATTAGACCTCGACCCATATGCATCCTCGTGTATGACCGATGTTCGAAAGCGATCGTAATTGTTATGATTAGCGTTCGTTAGTAGCTGCGGATAGGATGTGCTTAGCTTGCCAGAGTTAGTCGCCATATGATGGGTATAACGAAGACCATGTTCCCGATGATGAGGATGATGAAGATGTTGCTGAAGGAACTCGGCCGTTGGTGTTACCTTGCTCGAGACTCGAATGCTCGGACTGACATCCAAATCTTCCATGAACTCGAGATGTTGACCCTTCGGTTCTACATAAATCTCATGGTTCTCGCTGGCTGAACCTTCTTCGCAGCTGTCATGGACGTTTATCTTCCAGCCCAAGTAGCGATGAGTGAAACACTGAAATTAAGTCATACCATCGGATCAGAACTGTTCAAGTGATATTATAATAGATATACATCAAATCATTTCGCACTTGATAATAAACCGTGTCAGGTGTATTCTCATCGGGAGTCCATTCAACGATTCCTGGTTCACCATGATCACATACTAAAGTCAATGTTCGTTGATAAGCACCGAAAGATGAAAATTCATCGGCCAGTGGTTGATTTTGATCTGGTACCCAGTTACAGAATCGTCCAACTCCAGTAGGTCGAACTGATCCTCGTTGTCTACGTACTCCAGCGAATATTTTGATTTTCTGCAATAAATAATTTTCGTTATCGTATTAATTAACATATATAATTGTTTATTGAACACATCCCAACTTACTGCTTTTTCTTCTGGCGTTTTATGTTGATAACCACCGATCGGATCATCCGTAATGTAGAACGGATGATAACGCGCCGGTGTATCGGCATCAAGTCCACCTTCAACGACAAACGTATACTTCTTTCCACGGACTACGTTTATTTCCGGAATCAAAAGACCGTTTATATACCAAGAAATTCCCCAGCCTACGTGACCTATAAAAAACCAACCAGTATCATCATTTCGTAACATCAATGATCATGATACTTCTTCTTTAAGATAAATTTACTAACCCGTAATAGCAGGATATCCATGTTTTCCACCGGTTGGTCCCATTTGTGCATAGAATACACCATCTTCTGGTTCATAACATTGTATCGGAGGAATTTCCCAGGCGTCATTTTTAGGTGCTGGTGCTGGAGTTGCAGGTATGCGTTGAGGTCTTTTTATAGTTGTTGCAACTTGCTGTTAATAATGATGTTGTTATCAAACAGAAATTATATTATCGTGAAACTTGAAAATAGAAAGTAATCATCAAATGTACCTGATTATTATTAGCATTACTATGATTATCGGTGTAAGTATCTTGGTCTTGATCAGGAATAGGACAATTCCAAGCAGGAGGTCTACCGAATTCGATGAAACGATCCGTCTTCAAGTAGTCACTATGGAAACTGACCTCCTTCCTCTCGTTCAATGGACCAATCGCCCAGATGATGGCTTGCGATCTGTTCGTGAGAACCTGAAGATCCAGCTCATCACTGGCTTTCAATGGTCTCTGATAGGTCACGATGCTGTACCCATTAACCAATGCTGCATTCAACAATCGAACCGAGTTGGTATCCTCCTACAAATGTCAGAGTCAAACGGATTAATTCAATTGTTTGATAAACGCGTAACACCTTTACATATTAATTAGACATTTTGATTTGATATTTTACTAGTATGTTTTCATCCGGACAACTTCCTCGTTTACCGGAACACTGTGATTTAGCTTCCAGGAAATAATCAATAGCGTATCCTTGAAGAGTTTGTTTGTCTACCCAAGCTATTACGACGTCTCCACCGACCATAATGCTTCTATCTGGATTTACCGATAAACCAAAGCCCATGTATTGTCCATCTTCTGTTGACATTAATGAGAAACGATCTAATATACTGGGTAATTTACAAATATCGTATGAATAATAATTACAAGTTCTAAATACAAATCCTCAAATATCATTCATCATAATTTACTCATTTCATTTGACGTATCTCCACGCGCAATCATTTTGATTTTATTTTTTATAGTATTGACTTTAACAATAAAAAATATAATGTAATATCGGTAGTCATGGAATGAGTAAAAATACAAATACCACTGTTTCCGCTTTACGAATCGTTAGAGTTACGGTAACGTTTAAGTACTCGCCGTTTTCCCCTCGTTTCCGAACCATTTTTACCGGAAACGGAGTCCGTAAGCGTGTCGTGAACGAGTCCCCAATAACACTCGACACTACCGTAAAAAGAAAAAGACGTGGACGATTTTTCGCAGGGTATTGTTCGAAATGTGTGAAACAGATATTGAACCAAATGCGATACTACAACGAGAATGGGAACGCGAGAATAAACCGGTAGGAGAACGATTAAAGTACCGGGAAAGAATAAAAATAATAAATTTGTTAATTATTTCATTAATCAGATTAAATATTTTCTTTAAAATGTTCAATCGAAAAGCATAAATTTATGGTTGAAACGTAAGGATTCGAGGACGAGGACTTAGGTGAACGAGAATGCAAACGTGAACGAAACTTTCGGTTGGTTCGGCCCATTGTCAAGTCCACGAATACGACAAGCTCGAAATTATGTACTCACCAAGTTTTCCAACGAGCTGTACGACTATGCTGTCACCTGCAACGGCCCAGCGCACTTCAAAAGCCAAAGTGTCATCCAGGACTTCACAGTTTAGTTTCGACTGCAAGCAAACGGTCATTTCATCCACATACTCAAGAGAAACGACGATACCGTGTTGATTGTTTTATCACCACGAGAGATAGATTTATCTTATAAAGTCCAATATAATAATAATAATAATAATAATAATAATAATAATTAATAATTAATACTCGATATTAGCTTGTTGTCAAGCATTTTATTCAATCAAATTATTATTATTCAAATATTTCATTGAAATACAATTGAAATTAACTTTTTTCCTATTTACACGACGTAGTTCATTAAAAATTAAACATCATTTGTCTTAATGAAATTTATTTCATTGTAAATATATGATCAATTATAAAACGTCATATTTTAATATTTTTTCTTTAATATTTCTTACTCACTTTGGTAATAATAAAAATACTTTTAATAAAAGGTATCCCAGTGGTATGCCATTCCAATGTCATTACATTGTAAAAAAACAATGCACCAATTATAATAATGATAATAATAATAATAATAATAATAATAATAATAATGATTTTTTGTTTACACAGAAAGAACAAAAAGCTTATTTATTTAACATACACAATAAAGTATACACAGGTGATGGTAAAGTTGTGTCAAATAATTTTATCATCGTGTATGATGTGAACATGTGTGTGCGTGTATGATGTGTATTTGTATTTGTATAAAGGTGTTTTCACAGATAAATTTTAATAGAGAATTTTTGTTCATAAAATTAAACAAATATATATATATATATTATATAATATATTATACACGTACTACTACTTTGAGAACAAAGATACCATCTTTGTTATCTATCTAAAAGAAGGAAAACTTCACTAACCATAAGGCAAGAAAATTACTCCCAACGAAAGACGACCACCGACGAACGAATCGAGATAAGCGCGAAATTCTCGAAAGTATGTTGCGAGTTATTTCGAAACACGATGAAATAATTCATTCCTGTATCACAGCCTGAAACGTTTCACGGATCTTCTCGAATTTATTTACGTTTTTATTACTCTCTTTATCTCTCTCTCTCTTTCTCTTTCTCTCTCTCTTTCTCTCTCTTTCTCTCTTTTATTTTTCGATTAATTAAAATGAGATGAAATATCGAATCAATAATAATAATAATAATAATAATGATTATTATAATACAATAATAATATAATACTAATACTAATACTAATACTAATAATAATAATACTACGTAAAGTAATACAATGTATTAAAACTAATGGCAACGATCTCAAATTGATGATTAACTTTCTCGTTGAGAAATTCATTTTTATTCGACTTTGTTTTTTTTTTTTTTTTTTTTTTTAATGACATTCTCATTATATTAACATAAACATTTTCAAATAGTTGTCGGTGGATTTTGCGTTGAGAAGAAAAACGTGCCATACAATATACGTGTAGTATCAACGAGTTTCATTCAGGATTAAGAAACATTTTTAAATCCGTGAGAAAATTATCACAATTGGTATTATATTACGTAAAATACTTTTATTATATTTATTATTTTCTCACTTTTCAAGAATTCACAGAGATTTTATTTTACTTTATTCTCTTTTTCTTTTTTTTTTTTTTTTTTGTAAATACAAAATTAATTCAAAATTCGAATTCTCGAGAAGAAACACACATTTCTTTATCAAGAAACACAATTTTGGCGTATGTGCCATTGTATGCTAAATGTACTTGAAAAATGTAAGTAAGTAAGCGTGAATCAATATGCGTGTATACAGTAAGTATATATTTGTTATATAAAAAACTCTAAGTACGAAAAAACTCTACGTACGAAGGGTTTTGGTGTACAATAAATAGACTGCTCGCTGTGGTATTAAATAAATAAATGAAAAGTCGAGTAATCTCGTCTCTGTCTCTGGTTCTCGTACCATTTCCCATATTGAGAAAAAGATTATTTTTCTAGCGGAACAAAACTTAACACGTTCGTTGCCCAGCCCGTTTCACTTGAATTTCTCGCCAGGCCCAAAATTTGACTGTCGGCGGGCCTACGTAACGTAAAGAAGCGATAAGTAGAAATATCAACAATGCAACCCGAGTATTATGGTTCTATTATTATATTATTATATTTTATTTATCGAAAATAATGAGCCTTTTTTTTGGGTAGATTAAAAAATGATCCGTTAGGATTGTGGGTTAGTAGATAATTGGTTGACAATCATTCTACGAATAGTAGAAGATAAATCGATAATGCAAAGGGATGATCATTTACATTCTTCCTATGGTAAATTTTCGTTAGATATTATTCGGTCCTGGTCGTTTAGTAATTAACGACACCATTAGTAGGTATTAGAAGAGATTAGAACTCAATGTGTATTATAAAGCGTAGAAGGAAAGTAATCACACACACACATTCACACACGTTACTTCGATGTTTCCTCTCGCGTACTCATTAGTTAACCCCCTTTAATCAAGATTAATACAATGGTTCACTTGAGACTTGAGTACATTTAGTTTTCTACGATAAACTAATTATTTTCATGTACTATATATATATATATATAGTTATTAAGTGCAAAGTGTGTTCATGATCATCAACTACGTAAGATACATAACACCCCCGTGATGTTACGTAGTTTAAAATAGACTTTGAGAAAGAACTAACTGATGGAAATATAACAGAAAGTTTCCTTGCTTGCTTTGCTTCTTCTTATTTTTCTTCTTCTTCTTCTACCTTTTCCTGTTGTATATTAATTTTCTAAGAACGAGAGACAGAGACAGAGAGAAAAAGAAAAAGAGAGAGAGAGAGAGAGAGAGAGAGAGAGAAAGAAAAGGAAGAAAATCATTGAGAAAAAAAAAACGTAGATTTTCAAAATTGTCAAATGTTATCAATTTGTATGATAAAGCCTGGTAAAAACGTGGCTGCTGCAAACTAATCGATGCCAGTAAGATTGTCAAACAAATATGTTTTTTTCTTTCAATAAATTATTATTAATGAGGTGTTTCTTTTTTTTTTTTTTTTGTTGGTTTTTGCATTTCGAGAAAGAAATCGAAAAGGACATAGTCGACGTCGATCCTTTGAGAGATTGACAAAAAAAAATAAAAATCTCTTTAGTAACGAACAAAAGAATCAACCCTACGGTCACCTTGATATCGCAAGACTCTAGAATAAGAATTTTGTTGAGGATCCGATTGGTGAGTGCGGGATCGTGCTCGTCCTGACTGTTGTTGTTGTCTGGACGGTGAGCCGGAATTTGGTGAAGAGGAGAAAGAAAAAGAAGAAGAGGGAGTTGACGATGATGACGATGACGATGATGACGATCCTCCACCATCCTGATGACGATAATGATGAATACTAGAATCGTCGGAGGTTTGAATGTTAGCCAGTTGCCTCAATCGGCCTAAATTTGGTATATCCTCGTTGAATTGAAAGGTAGCAGATTGTTGGACTGGATTTTGTTGACGAGTAAGAACATCCGGGACCTGGAGACTTTTGGGAATGCGATAATCGATCGACTGGACCACCTGGATTTGATCATCGCGACGAAGTATTGGACGATAAGTTGTTGGACGTTGTTGTTGCTGTTGTTGATGAGCTATCAAAGAGGGTGGAAACGTTGCCGAAAGTGTCGAGGACGAGGAGGACGCTGCAGGTGATAATATCGAAGAAGAAATCTCATGGAGATTTTGTAGATCGAGTATTCCCGTCTGTCCCTGTCCTCCGCGATGCACAGTCTGCAACACACAAGGACAGAGACAGAGTCTTTTTGTTAGCAGCAACACACGTGCTATTATTTTTATCTATCATTTTTTTTTTTTTTTCTATCATTCTTACACACACTGTTATATATTTATATATGAGCTATCTGTCACAGATATCCATTTTTTTTTTTTTTAATTCTTTTCACGAAACAAGCACACAATTTCTATTCCACTTTTTTCTATTTTCACTGTCAATTTTGTTAATCACATGTTTTTGCTTGATTTTTTCATTTTTTTTTTGGGGGGTTTTTTTTTTGTTCTTTTCTTTTGCAGCTTCAGAAGCGTCGAAGGCAACTTTTTATGCTTGCGTTACGATGTTATGATCACGTCTTCGTATAACGGAGACAACTTGAACAAGCGTCTCAAAGCGTTAAAGCTCGCGACTTTCATATGAGTCGTGTTTTATGTGTATATATATCTATCTATATATATATATATATATATTACTAACGTAATATTGCATAAGTATGGGGAAAAACAAAGTTAGAAGTGAAACCTTCAAAAAAAAAAAAAAAAAAAAGAAATAAAAGAAACGATCAAGGGTGTGTGTATATGATGCAGTTCTTATTTAAGTAAAGGAAAATGAAGAACAAAAAAAAAAGAGAGAGAGAGAGAGAGATGAATGTATGAGCAAGAAATCAGCGGGGTTTTCGTAATTTTCCGAGGGAGGGAAAGAAAAAAACCATAAAGCACTAGCACAATCATAGTCGTCTGAGCGCGTTGGGTTTGCCATTGGGGTCTGTTGCCCGCCGGTCTGCCGTCAATGACTGCCAAGTATTCTTTCTCAAATATTGACAGAGACAAATACACGAGAGTGGAACAAATACGCGGCAAGTTCTATTGACTGCCTTCTGGAAAGCATGTCTCGCACATGGCCATTCATAGTGAGCCAAGTAAATCCATACGCATGCGTGTAACGGTGATTTTTGTTTCTTTATTTGTTTCTTTCATTTTCGGTTCAGGGTTATGATGAACACGTTCATTATTTGTTTGTAAGTATCGTGAGAGGCTTATCGAAATTAAAGTAGACTGATTGTACATTAAATTCTATTATTCTAAGTTTGATTTGTATTTATTTATATTTATAACAAATCGTTCTTCCATTCTCTTGTTAATAATTAAAGAAAGCCAGGAAAGAAACAAATAAATGAATAATAAGAGAAAACAAATAATTCGATCAAGAGACGAACAATTTTTCGCATAGAATTAAAAATAAAGGGACAAGGCAAATGAAAAAAAGAAAAAAAGATACGAGTACAATGATAATTATCATGAATTATAATGAAATCTATTCATCAGAGGAAAAACACATAAATGTTGGAATATCTTTTAGCTAGGAAGGCAAACAAAAAATAAGGTTGTGACAGGAATTGGTGGATGGGTATGGAAAGAAACGAGGAAGAAGAAGCAAAACCCCTCTTCAGACACAGCGTGTAGTAGTAGTAGTAGTAGTAGTAGTAGTAGTAGTAGTAGTAGCATTTTACAGTGCATTTTGTCATGAAGGACTCACCTGCGGTGAAACTCCTAGCATCTTAAGGGACGGTGGAACGTTGAGACCCTGTGGAATTTGTATGTGCCCAAAGTCAACGGTAAATGCCTCGCACCATACGCCAAAATGGCCAATCTGGTGCACCGTCAAATCCCCGGGTAAAGTCAAGACAATGGTTTTGCGATCGTAACGTCTCAAAGGTTGTTCTTTTCCATTTTCATCGGGCACTCGAATTCCTTGAGGTGATGGCGATGGTCCAGCACCAACCCAAAACTTTGCATCTAAATTATAACAGAAAAACAAACACAAAAACAAAAATGTTAGAAAAAATGTTCAAACATTTCAATTGAATTCAATTTGAATCATTCTATGGTTTTTATAAAAAAAAAAATATCCTAACGGTATTTTCTATTCCAATGAATAAAGATATTAAATTATGCAACGTAAAAATGTAATATTTGAAGAAGAATCTTTTTTTTTTTTTTACGTTAATTTTTCAACGTGTATTACTTTCTAGGTCGTGCATACACGATTAAAAAAAAAAAAAAAAAAACTATGTCAAATATTTAATTAAATTACGCTTACATTGTAACGCTCACCAATCTCTGTTCAATAACTTTTGATAAAATGTTCGACAATATTCCCTACGTTAAATGATTTTAAATGAGAACTTTTAATATATTCCGTCTATATATATATATATATATATATATATATATATATAATAAAACGATCCTATACTACAAAGAGTTATAAAAGTAATTCATTTAAATATTCTACCAAAAATTCCTCGAACGAAATTTAAATCGCAGAGTTAAGTATAGTCATCATTTAATGTCTAATTAATTATACAGACAGAAAGAGAGCTAAAAAAAAAAAAAATAAGAACCTAGCTTATGTTGAAACGACTCTCTCAAAGTAATAATTCAAAATAAAGAATGGAAAAGAAAAAAAAAATAATCTTATAAATTTATCATACTTTTTTCGAATCCTTTCGAATGACAAGGACAACGATCAGGATATGTGTGTGTGTGTGTTAGGAGAAATAATAAATTTATAAAAAATTACGAAATAAATGTAGAAAAAGAAATAGTCGATTGAATGATGTTCCAACATCTCGTAATTATCTTGATTAATGCACATTCTCATAATCTACCTGTGCTAACAAAATAAAATTCCAAATTTATCTCAAAAGTATGAAATTAAATTATTCGCTGAACGATCAAATTTAAAATACTAAATATTATTCTACAAATATGTTTAATTAATTATAAAATTAAAGTTTAATTTGTATTATTATTTATAAAAATATTACGCCTGTTGGGTTGCAACCCTCCAGACACACTTTGAAAATGTTGCTTACGAGTGCCATTTCGCGAGACAGAATTTTTTTGCAGCCCAAAGTGTTCATACAGGTATGTATTACAGGTTGCTTATCTTTCGGCCTAGTAGATGTCGTTCGCAAAAAACTTTTTAAAAAAATGTGTATGAAGGGTTGCATTCGCACAGGCGCGCATTTTTATAATTAATAAATAAATAATTAAAAGAAAGAAAAGGTAAAAATACTATTATAATAATATTATTAAATAAATTATCCTACTCTTGATGATGCTATGAACTCGTTTCATTCTTTCGAAACTTGCTTTTTTGAAGGTTTTATTTCTAACTTGTGTGACCTGCACACATGTTTTTTTTTTTTTATTATTGATGATCTCTCTATTGTACTAACAAAGAAGGAATGGATGAGTGAACTTACCAGGTGCCTCTCCATCATAACTGAATCCTGGTATCAAAAGAGTCTGAGCGTCCACGATAACGATGGGTTCTGAACTGACTCCGTGAACTCCGCTGAGAGCAGCCAATTTCTGTGGTTTTGGATAATCCAAACCACGTGGGATTCTTACGTCTCCAAAGTTGACCTAAAAAAAACGTAGTATTGTTCGTTCAAGAGAGATTGTGTTTTCTCTTTTTCTTCAGTGAAAAGCCAAAGATATGCTCTAATAGAAAATAATCACGTATTTACTACTACTAYCAAGTAACCACATCTCATATCTTTCGTTTTACCTTTCAAATTGAAGAATATGTAAATGCAATAATTAATTATTTCAATGTAAATTATAATTGTATAACCCTGCTGTTTGGGGGTTGAACGTAGGTCTGATTACCTCACTTTGTAAAAAGACTATCAAGAAACGAAGAAAACTGCCATGGAATGGCGGGATTTGGTATTTGCGGTAATGAACTTTCGAATTCCTAATACCAGTTAATAATAATAATAATGATAATAATAATATATTCATAAATTTCACATAGTTCTACGTGAGTTATTAATACACGCGAAAGTATTTCACATTTTGTTCAATTTCGTGTAATATTTTATGATATAAAAATACATATATATATATATAGTATTAAATATTAAATATATTATTATTATTATTATTATTAATAGAAGGTATATTAAATAATTGTGTTTGGACAAAAGTTTTGTATTATAAAATCATTATATGTATTTAATAATTAACGATTGATTCTATATGAATTTCAAAAAGCAATGAAAATAATATAAAATTAAAAAAAAAAGAAGAAAAAATAAAATAGAGAGAGAGAGAGAGAGAGAGAGAAAGAGAAGATGAAAGTTCGTACTTTAACCCAATTAACGTCATAATGGACGCGTATGTTGAAGAAAATTCATGAGCTTCTCTAAGCGCGAAATAATAAGCATAAATCGAGATGGTAATTCGAAGAGCTTCGTTCCCGTTCTGTCATCATAATCGAGCTTATCGTTTGGTACGAGTTATATGCTCTCAACTGTCCACTTACGTATACATATACACACACATCTATAAGTATAAACACACATACCAAAAATGCTTTAAACTTATACGTGAATACACGATTGACATCTACGTCCTTTATACTAGGAATATATTTACGGATATCTCGTGCGTATAACGCAAACTATGCTAATCGATAATTCAACTCGAACTGTATTATGTGCTCTCTGTTTCAAACTGCTTTAAATCTGCTTACGTTTTACCAATCGACAAATTTGTCTTTCACGAATCGTATATAACGAAGAATCCGTTAGGCACAAATGAACGAAAAAAAATGCGTCAGTGTGTGTGTGAGAGAGAGACAGAGAGAGCAAAAAAAAAAGAGAAACTAATCGAATTATAACTCGAGCTTTTTCGTCCTCGTAACCACCACCACCACCACCACCACCACATCCGACGTTAATTCAATTACTTCGATATAATAGAATAGCTCTGGTCGCGCGTACAAAATGCATTTTCTGTCACGTTTGATGCTCGAGAAGAGATGCAACCTGACCAAAAAAAAAAAAAATAGAAGACAAAAGAAAAAAAAGGAGAAAATTACACGAGTGGGTGTGGAAGGTAAAAGGGGAAAATTAATAAATGGTAGAATAAGAAAAAAGAGAAGTAGAAGAAATAGAAGAAGAAGAAGAAGAAGAAGAAGTAGAAATTAATTAGAAAAAGAAGATGTAAAGAAAATCATACAATCTAAGTCATGGTCGAGAAAGCTTGTTCTCTTTCACTTTAGTCATGTCAATTTATGGGCTGTTAATTATGCAACTCGTGCAAGTCGAGATCCAATTGAAGAAATTATTTTTATAGGTTTTTCTTTTTTTTTTTATTATTATTTATATATTTTTAACCTTATTGTATCATGCATATTTATATATATATANATATTATTATAATATTATAATATATATATATATATTATACTGTAAATGTACAGTAAAAGCTCTTTTTTATGCGATGTCCTTTTTTATGCGATTTTATTTTTGTGCGATTTTTGATCGCACAAAGTTGTTTATTACATGTAAATATTTATAAAAATTCGGAATATTTTTTTGTACGATTTCTTTTATGCCGTCCCTATCCTCCGCACAAAAAGAGGTTTTACTGTAGTTTCAAATGAATTCATTTTTCTCTCTCTAATTTTGTTTGTATGTTAATTTTTTGTGCTCTAAATATATTTCTTAGAATGAGAAAAAAAAAAAGAGAGAAAAATGTTTTATTTTACATGCATTCGTTTTATACGCGAATATATATAAATACGTAACGTGAAAGTTGTATCAAGAGAAGGTGATACCGGTTTTCATGACGGTAGTGCAAGTACTGTATACGACGTTGAAGGTCATGAACGTGAAAGAGAGACAGAGATTAACAGAAATAAAAAGATAATCAAGATATGTTATTTCTTTTTGTTTGTACTTACAGCAAATTCGTCGCACCATACTGAGAACCATTTGATGCTATTCAAGGTTTTACCATCAGGCAAGGTCAATGTAATATCCTTTCTCCGGTATCGTTTCAACACGTTTGCACTGTTACAATTATAAGGAAAAAAAAAATAAACATACATATGTAAATATATGTTTAAAAAAACATGGTCAGATTTTTTATGTGAATTAATTATTATGGTGAATTTGAATAAATGTAAAAACAGATGTGTGCAAATCACACACACGATAGAAGTGAAACCTTCAAAGAAAAGCAAGCTTCAAAATAATTAAATTGTAATACATTGCAAGAACCTAGATAACATAACTCTAAATAAAAATCTTTAAATTAGTAATAAAAAATAATAAAATAAAAAAAAAAAATTGTGCTATGTGCTGCTAAGTTGGAAAAAATCACGCGTGAAATAAATTAAATTTCATGAAGATAATTTAAGTAATTTTGGAATTATTAGTGGACAAACATATTGCGACACTGAATTTTTATATATTAAATTGTATTAATTAATTAATTAATTAATTAATTAATTTTTGTCTCATCAGTTTCACATTCTTCCGTTTTACGATTTTCAAATCTGCACCCTGATTCCAAAGAAGTTTTCACTTTGAAAAATGAATAAAATTAAAAAAAAAGAAAAAAAAGTAAAATTTAATAAAACGGCAGGCACGCGTACGATTAAAATACTTTCACTGATTATTCAAATGAATCGATTTAACTTACGTTCCACGTTCGTCCCGTACTCTGAAGCCGTTTGAATTTGGACTCTTGGAATTTCCGGCATAGAAGAATGCAGCTAGAAAACACAAAAACAAAAAACAAACAAGGAAATAATGTATTTGTTCAGTGACACTAAACTTTTTTACTTTTATTTATTTAAAATTTACCATATATTATTTATTCGTACACTCTATCGAAGTATGAGTAGAATATCTTCCTTATTTATTTTCTTATTTATTAGCTTAMGACGACGACGCCAAACGCAACATAAACAACCCAACAACAGTTAGTTTCGCAAGTATACGTTACGTGGACGTGTTTAATTTTACGAGCTTATCGAGACGAGTGAGAGTATTTGCGTTCTCGTTTCAATTTTCTCTTACTATCTGATAAAGAGAAGGTGGAGGAGGTGAAGGGTGGAAGAGGAGGAGGAGGAGGAGGAGGAGGAAGTCGATTTCACTGTTCACTAGAAGTAAATGACACGTTTTAAAAAGTTACCTTTCGCTGTTACTATTTCAAATAGAACACTCCGATTATTTATATTATCTATTTAAAAATTACTAATGGTAGTAATAAAGATAAATTGTCATTGGAATAAGTAAAAGTTAATATTAAAATTTTGTATAATTGTTTATAAAGTATGTTTGTTTCATCTATTAGATAAATTCATGTTGACTGTATATAAGTCGTTGTGTTAATTAACGCAAATAATATCTAAAGAACAGTCATAGACTTCCATTGGTTGTCGGTTGCTACTTGACGTTGTCGTTTTGGGAAAGTTTCATGAAAGAAGAAATCGATTAGTTTAAGAGGGGAAAGTTTAGATTTTTGTTGTAGCATCCGCTTTTTCAATTCGTACCTATGGGATCACTTTCGAGACGAGAATGTTTTCTTTTTATTTCTATACAATACGATCATTTTGTGAAAGGTATCTTACGTGTGTGTCGATGGATATTTGTCGTTTTATGGTTGCTTTTTTTTTCTCTCTTCAATTGACAGTTTAGATTTTATTTCTTTCGTTTTTTTTTTGTTAATCGCTCGCGTGCACGTTCATTAGTTAGTTATTATTATTTATATATATATTTTTTTGTTGATACAAATGAAAAGGACTTAGGATAAATTGAACGAAATCTGATTGAACTGGTAGCAATAGAGAAATCGTTGTGGTTACAGTAGTTGATATCATTCGGAATGATTTTATACGAGAAATTGTTACTTGATTATTTGACGGTACGTTAATTAAGAATTATTTTTTCTATCGTTGATATAGGATTATAGTAGAATCGTAGGAGCTTAAAGTTCGTGACAATTATAACGATAGTAAATTAATTGAAAATCTGGTTAGATATTCGATAACGGGCATATCCGATTTTGAAATTGATCAGATTTAAAGGAAATCCGTTATCCTCGTCGAATAGCAAACATTCCCTAATAATGCGTGATATGTATGTATATATATATATATATATCTATATATATATGTAGGGATCGATGATGATACGAACCTGGTCCTTCGCCGTCATACGTAAAGTCCTTGATGAAGAGGGTCCTTCCATCTACGGCGTAAACTTCGCCGCTGACGCCATGGTGAAGTTCGGACAGCTTGCCAATCAGCTTTCCGTAATAAGCTCCGTCACATAGCTCTGCAGAGGAAATTAATTACCTTTAGTTAATTAACAAAGTAATCGTTCTTCTATCCTAATCCAAGAGAAATAGTTCAACTAACTTTGTATTTTGTCCTTGGCAACGTATACCTTTTAATGATTTATATATATTTAAATAAATTAACCTTAGCTTACCACACTTGGTCCAAAGGACCCAGACCCTCTTTTTGTGCAACTTGAGTCATTTTTCTCAATTGTACGACTTTGGTAATTTTGTCAACATATTTAAATTTAATTTAAAGCTATAAAACTTATATAGTCTTTTTAAGTAAGTATTAAAGAAGTCTCCAAAAAAATGTTAAAGTAAATCTATGCAATAGTTTCTTTTTTATAATGATATTTCTCGCCCGGGTCCAAAGGACCCGAGTGTGGTAAGCGTGTTACTCCAGGAAGGGTGGTAAGCAAAAGGTTAATATAACAAAATGTGATAAGTGAAGAAATAAATCTTCGAATTGCTACGTCACGTGGTGGGATCTGTAGCACTTGAATACGCTATCTGTTGGCTAAATTCAAAATTAGAGTAGATAGGTCGAATTGCTATGCCACACCACGCCCCTGTCAGAGATCCCAATATACAATCAGTTAATATTTTTTTCGTGAGAAATACAGTAGAACCGGTCTGATGCATATAATGAATAAATATGTTGAATCGATCGGACTAGTTGGAATAATAAATCGCGTTTGGATAGGTTGACGATGGCTAACGGTAGACATCTCGATGGTAAACGTCTTCACGTTGCTACGGCCTCCAAGATTAATTTCCGTGTGCTAGGAGTTCTAGGAGATAGAACAGCGACCAAAGGTGAAGGGATTGGTGGGAGTATCAGAGGTAGAAGGGATCGTTACGAATATCGTCGGAGCATGCAAAACTGGCTTCCACGAATGCTTCTCTGTCCCGCATTTGGTGAACTGGCACGCAGGACAGTTCGTGTTGGCAAGGATCGCGGATACACGGGAATGCCAATCATCTCTATTTATTATTACGAATAATTCATCATTGAGATCAATTTTCAAATCATTCCTTCATTATTCACACATTTTTATTTTTAATTTAATATAAGAAAATATTTTACAGAAATAATAAATCTCTGTCAATGTTTATTACATTTGAGTAATCAATTCGTGTTTGTTATTTGTTTCAAGGTATCCAAGAAGTAAGAGAGAAAGAAAGACAAATTGTGTTAAACATCCCTTTCGTTATCTAACCGAGCTAACGTTTATACATACATACATACCTATATATATATATATATATGTTAGAAATACGAACGAGTGTGGCGGATCTGTTTTAGAAATCCATTTAAATCGCGTTCGATCTAACTCGAACAGGCGCGTAACTCGTTCGGCGCACCGTTACCGGCACTCCTCGTGAAACGTAGAAACGTCGAGAGATCGGAAAGATTGACGCACCTTCGCGAATAAATCGAACAACAAGACAACCCTTTGGTAAACATCCTTCTGGTATATCGGCTTCGGGAAAAGGAAAGGAAAAAAAAAATTGAAAAAAAAGAAGTAGAAGAAGAAGAAGAAGTATAGAAATAAAAAGTTTAGAAGAAGACAAAAAATGAGAAAAGAAATCTAGATAGATAGATAGATAGATAAATAGATAGGAAATGAAAGAAATAGAAGAGAAAAAAATAGTAAACGTAGTAAGACGATTTCTAGGCGGATCCACTGCGGAAAATTGGTTGAATGCTTGCAGAGCAAACGTTGCAAGCAAGCAAGCAACCAACCAACCAACCAACCATTTATGGGTACATATCTTTTGCTTCTCTTACTCTCTCTATTTATCTCTCTTTTCTTCCTCTGTGCCGTTAAATGTCACATGTAATCACCGATGTAACGTATGGGGGACATACGTTGTGTTTGCTTCCTCGTACCAAAGGTATTTGATAATTGGATAAAAAAGACGTAGAGACAAGGTCGATCGGTTGTTTACTTTCGAAGTACATAATCCTGATGATTTTCTTCTTCCTTTATTTAACGAATCTGTCTAACGAATCGGGATTGATGTTTTCTTCAAGATACGATAATTACGTTCACGTTCACGTTCACGAGGAAACGTACGTACGTATGTCGTTTCAATCATTTTTATATTTTTTTTTTCATTTGTACATTCTTTTCTTTCATATGTTATGTGTCAGCTATTAACACTACACAACTGTTGATTAATTCTTATCAAGTCTATCAATCTGACAGGTATTTATATATATATATATTTTTTTTTAAAGGTAAAAAATAAAACCCGTTAAATATTTATGAAATTTAATATCAAAAGCTTAGAAGAAATTATAATCTTCAGAAAAAAACGAAGTTTCGAGAGAATCAAACGAATCCAAAATATTTGGTGTAGGATAATTGTATTCTCTTTTGATTTAATATCGCGGCCGTTTCATAGCCGCCTACCGCTCCGTTACATTTTTTCAAATCACACCCATTTTAAAGAAGTTTTCACTTAAAAAAAAAAAAAAATTAAATGATCATTCAAAGGGTTGAACTATAATTCGATTTAAATGAGAGTTCGATTGAACCATTTAAACTTGTTGATAGTTGGAAAGGTTCCTTTCTAAATGTTACATTATAGATAGTGGTTATAAACCGACGAATAGAACGCACCACTCGATTTTGTAGAACGTGTTCCTCTAATTAATCTGCTTGCAGATCGATATGTTATCCATGAATAGAGGAAACGAGGTCGGAATGTGATAGGCTTTTCCGTTATAATTGCCATGAGATGTGTTCATTTGTGGTGAAAATTTATAGCAATACTGTTGCACGTTATATGTTGAAAAATACATAGAATAATAATATTTGAAATAAGAATTTGTTCAACAAATTTTAATATTAATTTTTACACACATATTATTATAAATATAATAAATCAAAATATTATTATTATTATTAACTGGCATTAGGAACTCGAAAGTTCATTGTCGCAAATACCAAATCCCTCTAGTGTTCTCATCCCTAAACGCAACCCTTTCATTCACGGTTTTTACAGCCAATTTCTTTTTTGTATTACATTAGTGTGATTTAAATCTCTCACAAATATCGATTTCATTTAATTTTTTTTTATCGAGTATCAATGTGTGTGTGTGTGTTGTATAGAATATCAAGGATTTAGATGCACGTGTCTCTGCGTACACGGAATGACATTTTATCGGGCGCGTGCTTGGAATTCTGTTAAACGAAAATCAAGTTGATGTATTCAACGATCAATCGATCAAGTCGAATGATTTATCGATATATTTTTATATTTACGATACGATGATAAAGATCTCGAATGAAATAACAAAAAAATCTAAACTAATTTCTTATTCGCAATTGTTAAATATATTTTTTTTTTGAATAGACAAATCAAATAGAAAAACATATTTAAAATATTTGTTGAAAGTTATTTTTAGTTGATGTTAGAAGGTCATAGATCGATCGTTAGTTCAAAGACGTTGGAAAATAGGATCGTTCGAGCGACTTTTTTTCCCTTTTCCGATAGGATAAAATGAGAAGAAGAACAACAACAACAACAGCAACAACAACGGGGTCGTGAGGATTACTCTCCAGATGAAATGGAACGCCGAAAAACCCGAGGGATAGAATGGAATAGAGAAGAAATGGAATTGGACAAAAAGATAAAGGATGGATGGGACAAGAAAAGGGACTAAATCAAAAGGGTAAGAATAAGAGAGAAAGAAAGAAAGAAAGAAAAAAGGAAAATACACAATAGATGGGTGAAACCTAACTTGATGAACAAGCACAAAATTACACTTTTGTTTAATTTATCTTAGTTCTTTTTTTTTTTTTTTTTTTTTTATTAAATGTTCAAGTCACGAGATGTAAAATCAAAAATAAATTGGCTGAGAGAAATAAAGAAATTATTAGGACGATCTAATCTGTAAACGTGTGTGTATGTAAATATATATACACACATATACATATGTATATAAAAAATGTAATATGTGATATTGTTTAACTAAATACCGTTTATATCACTGTTGCAAATTATTCTAAAGTTTATTCATGTTATTTCAATAGTTATATTAGTTATTATCTTATCTTATTATCTTTGTTAGATTTTCTTAGTTTTAAGTATTAGTAATTTAAGTTATGTACCCCCAGCTTATGTACAGGTATCTATGTTTACCTCATGTAGGATTTACTGTGTAGTAACTTTTGTTATTATTATGTAAATATTTCTTTTCTAGTATAATAAATATAAAAAAATAAATATACATATATATATATATGCAAGATAAATTGTTAATTATATAAATAAAATGATATATATGTCAAGGAGACCTCTGACATTTTCTGAGACTTGAAGGAGAAAGCAGAAAGTAGAGAGAACGCAATTGGCAAAGGCCCTCCTCCTCTTCCTCCTCCTCCTTCTATGATACGCCGTTTGTGTCGTAATGATTTACGACATTGTCGAGTTCTCCAAAGAAAACGATTGCCCCGTTTTCGGACCAACCGATTTTATTTTATTTTACTTTTTTTTTGTTACATTGACGATGCGTCATCGGTACGATCTTTAAAATCTTCTACGTGTGAGACCGGTGTGTTACGTAAAATGCTGATGAACCTTGTGGGAGGATATCGAATCGAATCGGGCCGATGAACTCATTATCGGCGAATGAAAATAAATTACAAGTTAAATTACACCCCCCACCCTCCCCGCCCACCTCCCGTTACACGAGTATTAATAATTAAATGTATTTGTTTTTTTTAATTCCTTTCTTTGACATTTCAATCTTTTTCTATATTATTTTGTTGTTGTCGTTTTGATCACTGGGTGTGTTACTCGATAAATAAGGTGATTAATATACATGAGATGACATAATATTCATCATTTTTTTCTATAATTTTGAATAAAATGTTTGCAAGATAAATAAAAAAGATATTAAATATATTAAAAAATTATCAACGAGAGAGAGAGAGAGAGAGAGAGAAAGTACGAATATTTATTTCGAGAAAGAATCTCTTTTTTTCTTTTTTTTACAAAGATATCAAACATTTTCTTGAACAATTGAGAAATGACGTTTTATTTTTGAAACAATATAATTCGATTATTTTTCATATTTTTATTGATAATTTTTAATTATTTTCAAATAAAAAAAGCGTCATTTAAATTGTCAAGAAATTGTTGTAAATTTGATATCTTTTTGTAAAAGAGAAAAACAAAAATGTTCAAAAGAAAAGCCCTTTTACATCATTTTCTTTCCCCATTGTCCTTTTTTTTTTTCTACCTAGATTAAAATTGAAATCTCGTTTGTTTAATTTGATTTTTTGATCCTTTTAATTTTCAAAGTAAGTAAGCACTTTCTCTATAAAGCTTTAAAATGGACTCTTACGTCATAGCGGTTTCCGACCACCACGTGTGCATCCCATTAAGACGATAATCTTGCACAGAGTTCGTAAACTAACTCCGATGAGAGAAGAATATGGACATGAATTTCGTAATCGTTCGGAAGGATCATTTGTGTTTCCCGCATGAATAAAAAAGAAAACAAAAACGAATCTTTACCAATGGGAGATATATAACTGTAAATTAAAACAGGTAATCTTGTTTTTTTTTTTTTTTTTTTTAATTTATTTATTTTCTTCTTCGATCTTATCTCCATGCCAATTTATTTGTAAATTCGTATAACGTAGATTAATGTCTACTTTGAATATAATTTATGGTTTTATTTGTATGGTAAAAGTTATATATATATATTTATATATATGTTGCACGTTATATAATAATTTTCTTTTTTTATACATGACAACAAGTTTCTACATTATACGGAAACTTTCAAAGTACTTTACGATCGATGACAATTTTTTGTTAGTTACGAAGTGTTAAACAACTGCTTGAAAAAAACAAAAAAAACAATTTAATGGCAAATTATTACGATCGAATCGTATAACGCTTTTCAATTCCTTATAGGATGTAATTAAAACGACGTTTTGTTTTTATCTAATTACAAGTGTACAACGTACGTTTCCTGTATCTTTACAGTCAACGACACTGTTTCTCATTGTCATCAGTATTTATTTTTTATTACGGTAACAATAATTATCAGGAAATACAAAACATTTATACAAAGTTCTCGAAAGTGGTATTTTCTATTGATTCGAATTTGATATCAATCATATCGAATATTGCCTTGGGAATGAGGAGAAGAAGAAAAAACAGATCAAAATAAGAAGATGATGATGATGAAAAAGGTAAAAAAGAAAAACACACAAAAGCAGAGATCGTGAAAGTCGTACGATAGCGAGAAACAGAGCGAGGAATCTCCGAAGAGGAAGAAGCCGAATCGTGTTCGTAATTAACTTCGACAATTAGCACGCTCGAAATCATCCAGTAACCGTTTCGTTCGTGTTCATAACGTTAAAGTCAATAGTTACGGAAGGAATCCTTTTTTTTTATTATTATTATTTTCTTTACTTCATATTTTTATTATATATATATATATTTTTTTTTCCATTTACCAAATTAACGAGACTTCTTTTTCCTCTGAATTATTTTATTACGCGAACAGTTCGTTAAACCAAAACCAAAAAAAAATATATATAAAGAAAGAAAAATCATCAGAAATTAGTGAAAGAATGGATGAATGGATGGATGCATTTTCAACACCATAATTAAAAAAAAAAAAAATAAAAAAAAAATGAATTATTTCGATGTGACACGGAAAGTAACCTAATCGGTTTAATTCGTATCATCTTGAAGTTGAAAAAAATGAAAAGAAAAAGAAAGTTAGACTCACGTGCTAAGAAGATAAAAAAGATCGTTAAGACCAGTCCTATAGTTGTTGAACGCCGATCCGAGGGCGATGTTGTTGGTGATCGTGTCGTCATGGCGTCTTCGTCGTTACTGCCGTCGAAAGTCTACGTCGCGGATTCAGGTTACTTTGTCGATCCCACTACGATCACCGGCTCGCCTTGCTTCACCTTACTTCTATCCCTTTCTCCCCGTGGTCTTTGATCTTACTCCCTCTCTGAAAATGCAACAGAGAAAGAAACAAATAGTAACACGTTTTTTTTTAATTTTTTTTTTTTTTAATTCATATCATCACAGCTTTTAACAAGAGTTTGCTGGTAAGAGCTTAACGTTGAAAAATTATAGTACTCTAGCCCCCCCCCTCTACCCTACCCCACCCCACTCTGTTTCTTTGGATTATTCTTTTTGTTTTCTGTTACGAACAAGTACCCCTTCTTCTTCTTCTCCTTCTACTACCCTATACTGGGTACGTAACGATGAGGAACACTAAGAAGTCGGTTCGTATCAACATCTCGTTGATTTGCAACATGCGAGCAACACGGTGTGCCACTCTCTTGGGGATATCTAGGCTGATAAATGACGAGAGTCTCTTAGTATAACGCGGCCTATGCGAACCTATCTGCTCATCAACTCTTGCGATAGGTGGTACCAACATCATCATCATCATCATCATCATCATCATCATCATCAAGCGACTTCCACCTACGGTTGACTTCCCTCGAAAACCCAATCGTTTTTACCCTCGTTTTTTTTCCTTTTTCTTTTTACAATCTACGAAGTAAAAGTTGAAACGCAAATAATGCAAAATTATTTGCAAGATAATAATTTGTTTTTTTTTTTTTTTGTAATATTTAACATTTAATTATATTGAACATTAGAACGTAATTTAAAAGTGAATTAATTTAGAGAAGAAAAAAAAAAGAAAGGAAGACATAGAAAATATGTTGCAATTCTGTAAAAGTTAAAAAAAAAAAAAAAAGGAAAATCCTCTTTGAAAAGTCTTACTCTCGCTTATCTTTTAAATACACATAATTTCTCACGATCTTGTGTGTATGTACAAACATACCCTATACACATGTTAACATTAAATCATATGAAATTTATTAATACGTTGTAATTTAGCAACCGCCTGTATTTAAGAAAAAAAAAAAATAAAAAAAGAAAAAACAGAAAAGAAAATATTACAAATTGATTCTCAAAGAGAAAAGGAGAGAACGAAGAATCGTTTCTCTTTTCATATACATATATATATATATATATATATATATATATATATATNTGTTTTATTTGAACAACTTTAAAGATTAGTATTAACAATTTTTAGTAATATTATATACTTTTTTAATGGAATTTTATGCAAGTAGTGACATATATGCAATTGATATTGATTGAGTTTTTATATTATAATATAAAGCAAGCATTATCAAAGAAATACTTGCATACTTTGATACATTTAATAAATATTTAATAACTTTTACCTTTAATTAAATCAATTCTTATAAATTATTATACTTTTGTTTTATATTTAACATTGATTCTTTATGATAACATATCTTTTTATGYTTTTATTTTATAAGAACACTAATCACATAKGCATTTTTCCAATCGTTTTTKGACGTGTAGTGCGGTCGGTAAACACGTCCCGGTTYCGGTCGCGTTCGTGTTCGCGATCAAAAACTTTTCTATAATTTTTTCATCTACTCTCATCGTCATCCTAAGGGTAGGAGACCCATCGRGCATTCATCACTGAAGATTAAAAGTAAATAGAATTTTTCTATCAAACATTTTTTGATGATAATTTCAATAATTTTTTATTACGATGATGATATTAATTGTTCTTTTCCTTTTTCTGTTTCAGAATATCATTGCAATCGTGCGTGTTGGCAATGAAGTGATCGTGTGTTTGCATCGTTTAACAAAATCGTGAATTAGAGTCAGTGTTTTTTCGCCGTATGTAAAAATTTCGATTTTTTTCGGATTAAGAAACTCCGAAAGTTTCTTATATTCGGTTTAAACGTGTGCTCATCGTCATCTTAAGGGTAGGACACCCATCGTGTATTCATCCTTGAAGATAAAAGGTAAATTAATTTTTATTATAAACATTTTTTTAATCATCAATTATAATTTTGAAATGATATCAATGATTCTAATCATTTTGTATTTTTTATTTGTTTCAGTGTTAGTGTTTGATATTACTKCGTGCGAAGCAGTTGTTAAATTAGAGTCAGTGTTTGTACGAATTATTAAAAAATAAAGTATAATCGTGAATTAGAGTCAGTGTCGTGGTCGTGATATAAAAAAGTTTCTCATTTTCGTTTTGAACCGTCTACGCATCGTCATCTTAAGGGTAGGAGACCCATCGTGCAATCATCGATGGTGATTTAAAGTGAGTATATTTTTGTATTAAATAATTCCTCCAAAATTTTAATAATTTTCTGTAATAGTAATGATATTAATAGTATTGTTTTATTATTTCTSTTTCAGATTGCAATCGTGCGCGAAGCAATTTACGGGAGTGTTTATGGTGTTATCATCAAACTGCGTGCAAAGCAGTTTTTGAATTAGTTGTAGAATCAGTGATCGGTCGAGTAATAAATTCAAATCAAACGCGAATTAGAGTCAGTGTTGTTCGTCGTATAAAAAAAATTTCGGTTTCGCGATAAGAAACTCATCTATAGTTTCTTATTTTCGTTAATACCGCGTTTTTAGAATCACGCGAGGTGCATCACCATGATGCCATTGAGCTGTATTCTATTGGAATGCATTGTAAGTATGCATTTTTATAAATATTTTATTCGATTTTATTTGAAATGATTTTTGATTATATTGTTGATAATTTATCGTTACGTTTGATTTTATATTACAGATAAGACGATGGATTTTCTTCCTCTTCAAAAATGTGGAATGAATTCTTCGATGGATCTTCGATGGATCGGCAGACTGCAATACTTGCTACGAAGTAGGAGTGTTTTGGAGCCATCGCAGAACTTCTAATGCTAACTGTTCATATTTCGTATATGCGTCATTTTAATCTTAAAATGTCACATGTATGGGATATAACAGTTGGTAACGAGTGAGTAGAAAAATTTCAAGTCCCTCCAGTGCTCAATCATGCCAAAGATGAAAGGTCCTAATCGGCACGAGTTACTGGTTGTAATTATTGAAATAAATTATTGACGAGCACATGAGTAATTCTTTTTTAGAAGATACTTATGAAAATTGTATATTGTATTGTATGTTTTATTATTAGTTCAGAATAGGTTTTATTGTCTCATCGGTTAAATTCATTTCATTAATAATGCAATTAATAAATACACATTTTATTTTGTTTATTTCTATGATACAAAAAAAGTGTAGGATATTCGAAAAATCATGGGTACAAAACTTGTTGGGGGGAAAGGGGTGAATAAAAAAATTAGGCATCGTAATCTTTCATATAGTTGCAATTATATTTTATCGTCATCACATCGATTCGATAAAAAAAAAAAAAAATAAAAATTGATTCAACTATCGAGAATATTCTATATTATTAATTATTTTAATTAAATATAATTGCTTGAAAATTTCATAAGATCCAATAATAGACGGGAGGAGGATTATCTATCTCTTTTTTTTAATTTTTTTTTTTTTCTATTTTCTACATTATCGATCTTGATCCCATAGGACGGTAATACTAGTGTCTCCGTCATACGGTTCGTCGATCGAGCCATCGCAAATTATTTCGTCTAGCAGCTCGTAGCATTAATTACGGTAAAAGCTTTAGGCCACGGGCTGCTGGGAGAGTACCACTAGTAGTAGGTAGACCCTGCTAGTAAATGAACCTAATAGCCGTACTCTCGTATTATCCACGCCATGTTTCAACATTACGTTGCTACATTTATCGAATATATATATATATTCATGAAAAACCTAAGTATTATACGAAACAACTAAGCATGTAAAAAGAAATGTAATAAATATATATATATATATATAATACGTAATGTAGGAACACATTGAAACGCGTTTTGTCAGAAACTGTGGAAAATTTAACCCTTTCGCTACTACGGACCACTATAATGGCCCTCCATAAGATGCCACTGAGAAACTACGGGCCACTATAGTGGCCCCCATAAAGTGCAATGTCGATGTTGCTGCACGTATTAAGTAGCACCGCGGAAAATACACTCGTTTCGAAAGGGTTAAAATTGAAAAGAAAAAAAAAACAGTGTTAAAAAAAAAAAAAAGAATGAAAAAGAAGTCGAAAGAAATGGAAAGAAAATTTTGTTCATGAATATTCGTGATTATATTTTTAACCTTGTATCGTAACTCGTAACACGCGATAATACTACATATACATACATACATACTTACATACATACATAGATAGAAAAGATGGAACGCTTTCTAGGCGCCAGGAGATGCCTATCCTTGATTCTTTTTTTTTCTTTTTTTTTTAATCAGCTTTGCATCGACGAAGCTAGTTCGCTCGTTCGCCTTCGGTTTTCCTTCTTGAGAACTCACGAAGTAATCGCGCGAGCATTGTGGGAATTCTCTGGGAAAAAAGCCGAGAAGAAGAGTTTACACGGCTCGGTTAGTTCGTTGCTCCAGTAAACGCATGGAATCTCCTTGTAAATGCATGTGCATCTTACATTTTAGTTGTTACTATTGCTATTTGTTATTTGCTATTTGCCGTTTGTCGAGAAGAAACACGCATAAATGTGTGTGTGTATATAAAAACAAACGTAACATAGTTTTTTTTTTTTTTTTTTTTTTTTTTTATATTTTTGATAAGAGTTCGTAAAATGGCGATATATTCTGATATTCAGAGACAAAAATCAGTACGACAAAGTGGTTGGGGGATTTTATTTTAAACATCATTGATAGATGAAGTTACAATTGACGAAAACGACTAAATTATTATCGTTTGCTTATAATAANGTTGTTACTATTGCTATTTGTTATTTGCTATTTGCCGTTTGTCGAGAAGAAACACGCATAAATGTGTGTGTGTATATAAAAACAAACGTAACATATTTTTTTTTTTTTTTTTTTTTTTTCTCTCTCTCATATTTCCTTGCGAAAGGATAATATAAAGGAATGAAAGAAGGGAAGTGGTAGAAGGACAAAGTGGTTGGGGGATTTTATTTTAAACATCATTGATAGATGAAGTTACAATTGACGAAAACGACTAAATTATTATCGTTTGCTTATAATAATAATAATAATAATAATAAT